CGGCCCAACAAGAGGGAATCCATAAAGAAAAAGGTTCCAATTTAAAAGAATAACACCTAATTGATAACTACAGAAAGCCTTAAAAACCGACCCCACAAGGAAGCCTTAGAAACCGACCCCAACAGAATCTGTTTGGTCACTCATCATGGGTGTTTTGTGTTTATACCAATGTGAACAGCTAGGTTTTGCAATGAACTTGTCTGAACTGAAATGATATATTTAACTTATAATGGAAGCATTTCAGTATGGAAATAACGCTTTATGTGATTCTGATCTGGAAAAACTGTATAATTTTCCTAGTTCTTTTCTAATGCAGTACTTTCAAGATTTGGACGTGAATGGCACATAATTTCAAACTTTGGACCTCATTGATTATGGATCTGGGGCAAACATTTTGTGATGTTTATCCAAAGGAAAAGACATCCATGACAATATCTTAGGAGTGTTTATATCTCATTGACATTATTTGTTGAACATTCATCACATATATTGAACATTATTTTGATTGAAAATGTTCAACATGAGAACTATTTCTACTAATCCCATAATTTAATTTAATCATTTAAACTACTAAAGAGCAATAGTCAGCTCTCTTGATGAGGAATATAATTGGCTCAAATTCGTATACATTGACATAGATTGCATTTCCTTCAGTAACTGGGCCTATAGAAATCTTCTTTTTCCCAAATTCACTAAAACTTTACCTCATAATTTGGCAGTACTCCTTTTACAGAATTTATTTAATTGATCCTCTGGTTCTAAAATGGCTGTTAAGATCAATATCATGTCATCATTATTGAAAGCATAGTCCATACTTCAGCATATACCAATCATCCGATAATTTTTTGTATAACGTGGTTGATGGCCAAAGAAACATATAGATTTTGTTAAAGAGTGGATTTATGGAATAGTACAAAATTTTGCAATATGCAGCACAGACATGTAAAACATGGCCTAGGATCATATGAAGAAGACGTGGAGTAAGAAAATTTTCATAGGTCCACTCCACAATGATGTCCATCATGCTTGAAATTTGTCCTTCACATGTGCGACATAAGCTATTTTGCATTTACAATTTGAAGGTTATAAACGTTTTCTATAGTTTCTTGTGGCATTGAAAATCATAGACGCATGGCATACTATAGCCTTAAAACTTATCTTCCCAGATATCATCAGGTTTTGACAATAATATGCTAGGTAGCTTATGATATCTTCCTTTTTAAAGGCTAAGAGAATCATCATTTGCATTGATTACTGATATGTTCTGTTGCTAATAACTTGGAATATGTTTTTTCAGYTCATTTACATCAAAGAGTTATTGGCCAATAACTCTTTGATGTAAATGACTTATTGATCTTTAATTATTCTGGATCATATGTGATATTCATTTGTGAAAGTGTTAAGGAAGGCCCTAGATACATTCAATATATTTTTCTGACTGGGGGGAATTGTCTGTCCTTATTTGTAGGCTGGAATGGGTGGAGGGACTGGAACTGGTGGTGTTCCTGTCATTGCAAGTATTGCCAAGTCAATGGGTATCTTGACCGTTGGTATTGTCACAACCCCGTTTTCTTTTGAAGGACGAAGGAGGACGGTTCAAGCCCAGGAAGGAATTGCAGCTTTGAGAGACAATGTTGATACACTGATAGTCATTCCAAATGACAAGCTGTTGACTGCTGTTTCCCAATCAACAGCTGTGACAGAAGCATTTAACCTAGCAGACGATATTCTTCGGCAAGGTGTTCGTGGTATCTCTGATATAATTATGGTATGTAATTAGTAATAAAGTTGAACAAGATGCTCTCGATCTTTACATCAAAGGCTTTTTGACAAATTTCATAAATCCTTTGATGTAAAAGGGACCATGAGACAATTTTCTGATGTGAAAATCCTGGTTAGATTTAAAGTGAACTTCAAAATGGCACATACCATTTGATTAGTGAAGGCAGTTAGTAAATAGAAAGTGGTCGGCCACAAAGAAGTTAGTTTGGATAATATTGCTCTCTTTATATTTATGAAGTCATAAAAATTTTAAAAATTACTAGAATATTTAAAATACTCCAAGGACGATGCCTACATGAACTTCAGTGCCATTTCCAGAATTTCTTAAACTTTTACTTTTAGAAAAAAAAAAAATAGCAAAAAATTCTGTGTGAAAAATTATTTGAGACTATGCTTATCCATCTTCAAAACATTGTGCGAAGTAAATGTATATTAAACCCCTTGCTATACTCAAATGTCGTATTCTTGTATTCTGAATTCTGACGGGTAGCTTGCCGTGATAATTTCAGATACCAGGACTTGTAAATGTAGATTTTGCTGATGTCCGAGCTATCATGGCAAACGCCGGTTCTTCATTGATGGGGATAGGAACTGCAACTGGTAACACCAGCTAATTCTTCCAAGTTTCTAGAATCTTTAGTATTAGAAGGCTTAGTTAGCCATAATCCTTTGCTTTTAACTGTAGACTATATTATAGCAATGCAATGAACGAGTTATGATGAAACATTTAGGTGAAAATGAAATTTTCAAACGAGTTAGATACATCTACCCTAGTGTATGTCATCTGTAATTGGATACAGGGCCATATAGTGACCCGAGAGATTGGTGACCTGGTAGCGTTTAGTGAATTCTAGAAGAGTGTTGTTATGGAGAGGTTGCAAAAATTACCAAGGAGTGCCCTAGTGGTAAGGGCTCGGGATGTTTGGAGATATTCTTCACAGTCATAGGTAGTCTTGAGAGGTTTATAATTTCACTCTTGTTGTCTACCGGAATTGGCCTTGGTGTAGGCAAAATTAGTGGAGGAGGGCCATGAGTATTATGCAAATAGTTGGGCCACTGATCTCCCGGTTATCCCCCCCAATTAAACCCCCCAGAAAGGTTGCATAAGGTACCAGGAATGTCCATCCGACGGTGGCTGCATATTTAGTTTATTTTCCCTGAATACAAGATCATATTTTGGCTACTTGCTCAAATGTGGATTTAATCAGTTTGGTGCTTGTATTGGTGTAGGGAAAACTAGGGCAAGAGACGCTGCTTTGAATGCCATCCAATCACCATTGCTTGATATTGGTATAGAGAGGGCCACTGGTATTGTATGGAACATTACCGGGGGGACTGATCTGACCTTATTTGAGGTACAAGTCCACATTTTTTCTCTGTATTATTGTTTAGTATTAATGAATGGAATAAATGGATGAACTTCATTCACTTCCGAATTATAATGAAGAAGACTCTCGATATCCTCTTGCTGTGTGTAAAAATTTATGGTTCCTATCAATGCAGATCCACTCACCTTGATTTCCAATTTTGGATGACAAAGAAATCTCTGTTGGTAACAAATGCTTGATCGTTAAGTGGATGCAATCCTTCCTTGCACCTCGAAGCGATCCTCATTCATTTTTTAATTTTATTAACAAGAAACAAATTTTTAGATGAAAAGGAAAATTATTCAAGATACAAACCCCTGGAGGAGTGAAAGAAAAAGAAAAAACAAAAGTAGTCAACGACGAGCTCGACGAAGAGCAATACGATCTGATTGAAAAATAAAGAACATTATAAACCAAAAATCACTAATGAAGAGGCCTAAGAAGAGCAAAGACGAACATCGATCTTCCTTGAGCACCCTGAAAATGAATCTGGAGAGTAGCCAAGTGACAAAATATGAGAGAAACCACAACCATTCAATTACTCGAGACCTTTAAGATCCTCATTAGTTAAACAGGAAACTAGAGAGTGTAGGGTTTGGAACTATTGGTGGGTGATTTTTCTTTGCATCTCTTGTTTGTTTACGTGGTCTAGTTTATCTAGAACCCTTGATATCAACCATTCTATTCTGTTAAAATTTTTTTATGATTATATTGTATCTCCATTAGAGGTTTAAGTAGGTCGGTTTGGGTTGCTTTCTGCTGGAACCAACGCCAAAACAACATATTAGTTTAAGGAAAATAAAAAAGAGTGCCTGTCGTATTTAACCAACAAAAAGTAACCACCAAAAACTAACTAAAACTGAACATAACCATCAAAATCTATTAAAATCAAAGTAACTAGCAAAGATAGTTGAAACCGACTCAGTTCAGTAGCTTTTTGGGGTGTTTCAACTTGCATTCAAAATCTTCAGTTCTGCTTCTGATTGTCTAGATGAATAGCTGATATGTCAAAGCTTGGATTCTTCCAAATAACATTATGCTTCTTTAGTATGCTTTGCCTGATACTTCTGTTCACAAAAGTGCTATTCACACAGGTAAATGCTGCTGCAGAGGTCATATATGATCTTGTAGATCCATCAGCCAATCTAATATTTGGAGCAGTTATAGATCCATCAATCAGTGGACAAGTAAGTTGTTGAAAACTCCGATTAGATATGGCATCCACAGTTCTACCGTAAATCAGGCTTGATAGTTGCTGTGCATTAATTGGAACATATTCGAGAGGGTATAGTATAACATTTTTGAATAATTGAAGCAAATCAATTCACCTGGTTGAAGTGTTCGCATCAACTTTGTGGCAATTATCGTGTATGTCTTAGAATAACGGATCGAAAGCAGTTCCATCGCAGTTCCTATGGCTCATTCCACACTTTTCTGGATGTGTCAATAATCTGTTGGCAAAAGATACCTGAATTTCTTCTATGGAATGCCAACAACAACTGAGTCAAATTAAGTAACTTTGCGGTTTCACTCTGCAGGTTAGTATAACTCTCATAGCCACTGGATTTAAACGCCAAGAAGACGGTGATGGGAGGCCCTTTCAGGTACACATGTCTCTATCTCTATCGCTTCGATCAGTTCCCGAAAACATACTGAAAAACATATAGAGGACTAACCAACAAACCCAAGCCACACTTCAAGCTTTGTTAAAGCTTGGGAGTGAGAATTACTTGAACTCATTTTCAATGCTAGTAGTTTATGATCATCCGTCTATGTGCAGGCGAGTCAACAAGCACGGGGAGAAACTGGATATGGAATGAATCGAAGCCCTTCTTTCGCTGATGGTGGTCTTGTGGAAATTCCCGAGTTCTTGAAGAAGAAAGGTCGGTCGCGCTATCCCCGAGCTTAAAAATCTCCATTTTTCAGCTACTCCTCTACACTGCTTCCCCCTCCCAAGTAGTACACTTTGCCTCAGGTAGGTTGTAGGTTTCTACTCTGCCCATTGTTTGAAAGTAGTGTGTGGTAGTGTACATAAATTCAAGTCAAATTCTGAATCTGATTTCTTCCTAAGATGTAAGATCAAAGGTTTCTCCTTTGTAGTTTGAGAGCCTGTTATAACTGCAATTGCAAATACACTTCATGGAGTTGTATAGTGTGCAATTGTTGAATTTGTTGATGATCTTCATAATGTCAACTACATTATCCAAAGAGAGTGTATAAAATGTAATGGAAACATATTCATAATTTTAGTAGATATTTCATGAAAAATTAGTGACAATCACCATGTATAAGTTTAGGAATTAGAATAGAAAACTGAAAAATAAAGAAACTAAATCTAGAGTTAAATGTAAAATGGATTTAAATCTTAGGTTAAATTACAAATTCGGATTAATATATTTGTAGAAATTTCTAAACCGTCTTTGGACTTTCATTATGTGTCTAATAAGTCAATATTGTCAATTTTATCAATTAAATGCTTATGTGGTATGTTCATCGGATGAGAGGAAATTTTCTACCATTTTATTTTCTCGCCTAACCATCACTATTTAAGAATGGTGCGTCAAATCATAAATGGAAGAAATATGTACTCTTGTAGTACTAGAAAATTTCCCCATTTCGTGGGGTTGAACATGACAAATTTAACATGTTAAGTGAGATACACTTCCATTTATAGCAATTAAATTGTAGTTTTACATGGTATCTTATCATCACAAGTCTTAAGTATATGTTTCATTCCCTAATATTTGTATGTTTTTTTTTTTCAATTTTGCCTATGGTTTAAAAGGTTTTAATTTCTCTCACTATCCAAAAATGTTAAAAATGTCTAATGACAATTTTCCATAATATAATACAAGGAAAAAAAAGTTATTCAAAAAAGAAAAATTTCCAAGAAAAAAAGTATAAATTTCAAGTTAATAACAAAATTTCTCTAAATCTTTGTCTTTTTCTTTTTTTAACACAATAAATGGGGGTGAAAGATTAAAATGTATCAATTATCATTAAATTAATCTCGTATTGACAGATGACATAACGTTTTAATACTCGTCGATATTGAAAAACTAAATAAAGAATATATATATATTAAAAGAGAAGAAACTAAATTTGAACAGGGACCAGAAATTAATATATATATATTTATGAGAGAGAGGGGGAATTGATTTGAAACTGTGGGCGTGGAAAGTCCAAATGGCAGGTGGGTGGAGCGTCTCTTCACTATTCCATTGTGCGTGCGAGACAGATGTCGGTGTCTTCACCCCCCACCCATCGCCATCCCATCAAAGCTTTTTTTTTCTTTAAAAAATGCTATTTTAATTACTCTACTTTTTGAATTTTAATTTATTTTCGTTCATATATTTTTAATTTGATTTATTTTAGTGCATATATTTTAAAATGTTTATTTTGATTTTTGTACTTTTAAGAATTTAATATTTCAATCTAATTTACAAAATTTTAAAATAAGTTCTATTACATAGGAATTTTTTTAATATAAAGTCATAATTACATTTAAACAAATATATTGACTCTAGTGTCGTGTTGAAATTGTGGTAGAAAAAACGAAATTAATAATAAAATTAGGAGATCAAAATAGACACCAAAATTAACATTTCAAAAATACAGAAACTAAAATGAAAAAATTCAAAATATAGGACCAAAATAGTATTTTAATTTTCCACTCATTTTACATTACATTTAAAAAGTGCTTTACCAATTTCATTTTTAGAATAAAGTCTAATTAAGTACGTTTGTTTGAAAATTTTCAATTTTGCTAACATTCGAAGAAAAATCATTTTGTCATTATGTTTTCAAAACCATCATAATTTAATCTTTTTCCCTTAAAAAAGAAAAGAAAAATTAGTTCGGAAAAGGACAAGTATGAGCAACATTTCTCCACCTCAAAAACATTTGAAAAATATCTCTCAAATCTCAATCAATTTCCTCGTTTTATTACCCAACAAATAAATTCTCTCAAAATAAATGTATGATTTGAACGCATACTGTACTCCCTACCTCCTTCCCCACTCCTATCCTTGTCAAAATTTTATAATGAGTTCTCATTTTAAAAAATCGACAAAATAAAAAAATGTATATACATCAACAAAATATCACTAATATAAATCTAATACTAATATCAATAATTTTTAAAATTTTCTTTTAATAAAGTAAAATATTTATCTATTAAATTTAATATTTATTATAAACTTTTCAAAAAAATATATATTCATAAATTGAAATATCGATATTTACACTAACATTTAGAGCGGTGCCGGTACCAATTATCACGATTCCCATGGCCAAATCAACATCAGCCTCACAATCCTCCAAATTCCAATCCCACCTCTCCTTTTTTTCCTTTTTCTTTTTCTTTTTCTTTCTCTCCGAAATTTTCCCATTTCATTTTCCCTCAAATTCCCACTTCCCAATCAAAACCAAAACCACAAATCCCTAAAACAAAAGCCCACGTCCATTTGGACCCCCCGCTTCACTGTTCAATCCATCTAATCCCCATGGCGGAGGGGGCTCAGTAACCGCCTCTAGGGTTCCGCTTCATGACGACGAAACTGATTCCACCGATGGATTTGCAGTTGCAGGCCGCCGCCGCCGGTCCTCCTCAATACTCCGTTTCATTGGAGCCCGAGAAAGCCGGAATCGAGCAGGAACTGCAGTGTCTGGTTTCGAGTAAGGGCGGAGGTGAGGCGGCGAGCAAACTCTCGGAATCGGAAGTGCAGGAGGGGGAGGGAACGGCGGCGGTGGCGGCGGAGGAGGAGGGCGGACGGGAGAGGCTGAAGAGGCACCGGCGGGAGATGGCGGGCCGGGTATGGATACCGGAGATATGGGGGCAGGAGGAGCTTCTGAAGGATTGGATCGATTGCTCCGCCTTCGACGCCTGCTTGTTTCCGACCGGAATTGGATCGGCCAGGGCGGCGCTGATTGAAGAAGGAAGGAGAGCCAACAATGGCGGATTCCGACTGGAGAACAGGTGCTGAATTTTCAGTGATTTTTTTGTTTGGGGGAAATTTAATTGCAGTAATTAAAAAAAAATAAAAGAAAAGAAAGAAGAAGAACTAACAAATCCATTTCCCAAGGTTTGAATCTGAGTTTCCAAAATCTGAGGAGGGAGAGGATTTTGAATGTAAACAAAACAATCAAACAAAATGGTGCTTTTGCGTTTCGTCTATGGCTTCTCTCATATTGGCCATTTGTTTTTCCATTATTGTTAATTTGTACAATTTCTCTTTGCTACTTTCGATACCATTATTGTTAATTATTATTTTAATTAATCTTAATCCATTTTTATCTATTTGCATTTTTTTTTCAAATAATTGTGTGGTATGGAAATCTATTATTGATCTCATTCATATTGGTTTATATTTTTGCAATTTTCAGATCACATAATAGGCTTGCTTCATTCCCTAAGTAGATGTGGATGTTGTACCAGTGGTAATAAGAATTCAACAAAATAAACTTAAAATTCACCTCAATTGTTAAATATAGTATTTTTGTTTTTTAATAAAAATTAATTGTGTCTGATAGTTATTATTATTATTATTATTTTAATTCAATAAAAGAGTTAATGTTCCCCTCGGAAAAAAAAATTATGTTGATGTTGGCACAACCGTATTTTAAGTTTAAAAGAAATTATAATTTATGTGAAATTAAATAAATAATTACGCCTATGAAATAGGCTATAGCCAATTTGAGTACATAAGATATCTTCTTGAAGCAATCATCTACCTCACATTTCTTGATCTGGAAAAAAAAACATGTGAAATAATTATTGCCCTATTAATGCACTGCACATCTATTATGCTCATTTTATTGGAGAAATTTTCTAGAGAATTGCATTGTTTGGATAGTAGTTATTTGTTTGTTTGTTTTTTTTTTTGGGTGACACCTTAATGTATTTTTGAGTTCAATAAAAATGTTTTTCAAATTGTATAATATTTAACTACATTTTAATTTTTCGATTACAGACACACAATTCCTTCTAAGTTCTAATTGTTAGGTATCAGTACATGCATGACATTGTCAGGTAAAATTCTCAATAATCACGTATTGCAACAGTTAAAGTTTAACATTTTTTTTTACTTAATCCATCAAAAGCACTTTAAAAAAATTAAAGGCATTTGATAATTACATATTTAAAACTGATTTTAAAAAATTTTAAAATAATAAAAAATTACCTTAAAACGCTTTAAAGTGCCTACTGCTCAATTAAAAAAATGATATTACATTTACAAATACTGCCTTGAAAAGTCATTAATCCGAGCACTGCGAATCATTTGCTCCCCTCTGGCTAAGGAGTCAACAAACTCTAGAGATTTTGCAGACATGTGATGCATTTACTTCCCACAAAAAAAAAAAAAAACAAACAAACAAACCTACCTGCATTCAAACGGCTCCATTGCTCTCCCAATTCTATTGAGTTTTGGCTTTAACATGTTTGAAGCATGGTTCAGCAAACTCGAGTTCTGCCCGCTTTTGGTCTGTTTTCTTTCTTTAATTCAATAATTACAAGTTGAGAGATCGAATCATCGACTTTCGTACAGTAATAGATGCCTTATCTATTTTGAACTATACTCGAATTGCCATCTCCAGTCAATTTATCATTCACCAAGTCAGACATTATGATTTTTCACTAGAAACAATTCCCCTAAATAGGACCCAACAATAAGGTTAAAGACACCATAATCAAGAGAAATAAATGTTGAATGGATGCTCCAAAACACAGGTTATTGGAATTCTGGGTACTTTTCCGATCATCAGCTTGAACATTATAATTCACATAGTATATATGATACCTCTTGGTTATTATATAAAATATACTATCGCACAAACATGATTCGGAAAGTTAAGTTAGGAAATAGGAACCAGCTCCCATATCCTTATTGTACCATCGTCGCTCGCTGAAGCAAGCAGCCTCTTCTCCTGACAGAAGTTGGATTGAATGCGTTAGTACGATGTAAATCAGTATTTTAAAACAAAATGACGACGGAGAGGAAAAATGGGAAGGATTTCATGTTTAGTAGAGATAATAGCGTAGAATCAGTAATTTGAAATACATACTGGCTAAAAGGCAGAAATGACAGCTTTCACACCAAGGAGCTGAAGGGAGTAGCGACGGCAAAAATACCCGAGGGTACCCGACCTGATTGGGTCGTGGATTCCCCGGTTTGATCGGGGACGGGGGAGTTCCCCGCTCCGTCCCCGACCCCGCCCCGTTTAATTTTTATTAATGTTTTTATTTTTATATATTATATTAATAATAATAATTTTTATACTACTTTTGTCATGACTTTGTAGATGGAACTATTGTAGATGGAACTATTGGAGATGGAACTATTGTAATATTATGTTAATTTTCTTGATTTTTCCTGTTTTATATTGTATAACTTCAAATTTTGAGGTTTTAAACCTTCTTCTTAATTAAAGATTCATCGGATTGAAAAAACCAACCCATCAAAAATATCTAAAATATCGTGATTGTATTTAACTAAAATTTACACAATTCTATAAAATAAAAAGTTTATATATTTTTTAAAGAATTAAAATATTAATAAATCTTTAAAAATAATAAATAAAAAGTTAGGTCGGGGACGGGTTCCTTGAAGGGACCCTATCCCCGCCCCATCCCCGCCCCCAAATTTTCGGGGACGGGGTAAAATTCCCCAACGGGGCATGGATGGGGTGGGGATACCCCCACCCGGCTCCGCCCCACCACGTTGCCAACCCTAGAAGGGAGTAGGGGTAATTTATAACCATTAAAGTCAGATGGTTTTTTAATATCTATGAGCGTCTAGATGGTTTAATATCTGTGAACGTCTAGACTAACTTTTGTAGGCTCATACTCACTAGGATTATTAATATCTCAGGTGGCTACCATGGTGTTTGAATTAGGATGTAATTGGTTATGACTATAATTAAATTCCAGTCATGAGCTAATCTTAAATGCCAGCAAAAAGTTTGCATGTTGAAACAAGAGCCTTACCCCGGGGCTCCATTGCACTGAATTTACATCCATGTCATGGGCCTTCTCCTTCTTATAAAGCAACTGGAATGAAGATCCATCAACCTGCGATGAAAAGGGAGAGTGGTAAATACTTCTTCCTTTGACTCGAAAGTTCCACTGCATTTTCACATCTTGAAAATAAAAACATATTTAACCAACAGCTTAATACTCAAACTAAGCCACACTGAACTATGATAAAGAGTTTCCATCACATTAGAAATCCCCTTCCTAATCAGTAGAACAATAATTGTAATACATGAATAAATAACGGTCTCCATAAAGCTATGTGAGAGACAATACACAGGTCCAGACACATTATTGTACGGTCTGGCCTTCACACAATGTATTTTTGGCTATTTGCAGACCTTTAGAAATTAGGATAATAATATAGTGTTTATTTTTCACCATTAATGCGAGTAAATGCTAATAGTAAGAAGGCGGGGCAGGCATTCATTACCACTTTCTCTTGATTCTCCACAAACAAACGGATCGCATCATCAGCAGCTCCACTAGCAATTATGCCATGTCTGTCACATTCAAGTGCAAAAGTCATCAGCTTCGTAGATGAATGGTCAGAAATTACAATATAAGATGAGGAAAGGCTACAAAGCGTAGGTGATCACATATCGTACACAGAATAAACCATAATACGCTTTCCAATCAAGATTTGAGGATGACCATACATATTATTTTTTTTTTATAAGAAACATCAAAAAGGTGGAAGAGAGACAGCCTAAAGACAGAGGGTAGAGAGAACCCTCCCCAATGAACTAAACAATCAAGACTTACCAATCATGTAGGATGAGTTGGAGGCTATAATTACAAAAATACTTCTTGTGGGAAGAAATCCACCACGAAGCAACATGCTTAATATTCATACAAAAAGAATCTACCAAATTTGAAATATTCTAAAAAATCCGGCTGTTCCTCTCTTTCCATAAAAGCCAAAGAAGAGCTCAGGCAGCACACTTCATAAAACACCAGCTTTTCCTTTGAGGTTAGGTCCCCCAAAACCCTCTGATATAAAGTCTTCTATTCTCCTAGGAAGACAAAAAGAAAGATCCAGGTGAGAGGCAATAAAAGACCAAGCTTTTGTAGCATAGGAACAATGAAGGAAAAGATGGTCCAACCCTTCTTCATCCCTTAAGCACATGCTACAGACCGAAGGAGAGAGGACCCACGAAGGACATTTCCTTTGCAACTTGTCTGCTGCGTTGAGGCCTCTGTAATACAGGTGCCAAAGGAAAAATTTAACTTTCTTTTGGAACTTTGAAATGCCAAATCTGATTTGCCATGGTCGAACTTAAAATAGGGGAAGGAGAACTCAGGGCCAAAAACGTGGATCTAACTGAAAACATCCCCGAAATATCTGCTTTCCACCACAATCTGTCTCTGCCTTGCCCAATGATCACCCCCTCTAACTTTTCAGAAAAAATCCCCCATCTGCTTATCTCCCTCTCAGAAAGATTCATTCTAATGCCCAAATCCAAAGTTGAAGATTCTGCCGACCAACACTCTGCTATTGTAGCATTCTTCTTTAAGGAAAGAGTGTAGATCTCCGGAAAAGAAGCTGCAAGGGGAACACTGTCTATCTAGGCATCCTCCCAAAAACGAACTGAATTTCCAGCAGAGACTTTGAAGAGAGACAGCTTGTTGAAATCCATTTTCAAACCTTGAATATCTAACCAAGGTCTCCCCACAGAAGAACCTTTAGCAGGCTTCGGCAAGCAACCAAAGGGCTCTTCTCCATAGATAGCCGCTATGACTTTCCTCCAAAAACATCCTCTCTCTGTCGCAAAACGCCACAACCATTTCATCAGCAAAATCTTATTCCTCTTAGCCAAAGACCCGATACCGAGACCTCCCTTTTCATGCGGAAGAGCTGCCCAAGACCATTTCACCAAGTTTTTCCATAGAATTAACCACAGCTATCGGAGCTTTATTTATCAAGGGAATTTCCCGCAAAGAGCGATACTTCTAATAAAGTACATGCGATCAACTTTTCAATGAGCATAAATATTTGATCATCAATGTTCAATGAGTTTGAGAGCAGAGCCCACTAATTGATCTTAAATTATTGGGTAGTCAATGAACCTTTAGGATAATTAATACCATAAGTAGGAGGCCGAGATATTTTGAACTTATGGGCATTTGGTCAAAACCAGTAGTATTTACAAACTTTTTTTTTTAATAAGAAACCTGATACGTATGTATAAACAGGTAGCCAATTCTTTGACGTAAAGTACATGCGATGCACTTTTTTGTCAAGAAAATAGCTTTCATTATGACTTCCAATTGAGGAGGGTTTTTGTAACCCCTTTGGTTCTTGATAATGCCTCCTTGTGAATCTTATTCCTAATGAAATGAATTGAAATGTGATGCACTTTTTTGTCAAGAAAATAGCTTTCATTATGACTTCCAATTAAGGAGGGTTTTTGTAACCCCTTTGGTTCTTGATAATGCCTCCTTGTGAATCTTATTCCTAATGAAATGAATTGAAATGTATCTTGAAATGTGTTTCCTACAAGAAGGGGGAAATCAGCCCTCCCTCTCTTGATAATTTGTATTGGGGAAAAAGTAGCCTTGTAGGTGAATAAAGCTACTCATTAACTGTGTCTTTTAAAGTTGTTAGATATCGATTAAATTTACCCTAACCCATCAGCTTAAACTTTTGAGTTCGTGATTTAATCATATATAAGATAGTATAAGAGCAGGAAGTCTAGTCTTTTAACTCCTGTATTTTCATTTCCAACCCCGTTTCATATTGATTTCCACTTGTTTGGCCATGTTCAAATTTTCAAGCCTACAAGTGAAGGGGAGTGTTAAATATCCTATAAATGATTAAATTTATCCTGAACCATCAATTTAAGCGTTTAGGTCTATGGGTGATTTAATCATATTTAAGAAGACAAAATGAAGGATTATTTATCCCGGCTTTCCAGATGTTCATAAAATGGAGAAGAAATTAAACCAAGCACTCTATTACCACGACTAAATTTCCACACACCTTAACTTCTCTACTAACGACTGGAGTAATTGGCTTTAAACACTGTAGCACAAGAGAATAAAAATCTTTAAAGACCTAAAATTAAAATCTAGCGACTACATAGTTAATTTTACCTTGACCAATGACCAGAGTAGCACAAGAGAGATAAAAATATTTATAGACAGAAAATTAAAATCTTACAGCAATAAAGTGGTTAATATTACCTTGAACAGTGAACAGAGAAAATTGTTCGATCATGATAACCGGAAAGAGTGCAAGTATGCCTCCTAACAAAACCAGATAAAAGAACAACCTATCAGCATGCTTACAGGAAAACAGATATAACATTGTAGTTGGAAAGAAACGAAGATACTAATAAGATGGTCTCCGAGTATGCATCCCTTAGTACTGAAGAAACATTATCAGTTTGTTGATGTATTTAGTTGCACATGAAATGCTCTACTACATTACTTATGAGCATGCATGCACATCAAGACATTCGCATGCATAAAAATAAACATATAAACACTAAATATTCATAACAATGTCTAAATTCAAGGAAAGTAGGCATCAGAAGAGTCCTATAAGTGAAAAAAATCACCTTCTTGAAACCAGGTTTTAAGTTTGCTTTACTAAGTTAGGGTATTAAAGAACAAACGTAATTGCTAGAGCTTTACTTATGACAGTCTCAGACTATTTGACTCCTCCGATTACAAGGTTTTAATCAAAGGAGACCATGTCATTTAGATCAATGATATATATAATGAACATATGCTTTCCCTTTCATGCCAACGTTCATATTCAAGCACAAAAATCTACAAGTACCAACCAATTTCATAATAATAAAAGGAAAAATTACACATTGTATCTGAACATATCCTATCAATAAAGTTCTACTCACTCCAAGCCCACACAATCATAATGATGATGATGATGATGAAGTTTTTGTGTCCCTCACCATGGTGAATAGTCACCCCCAGAATGCAACCTTGTCCCATCCGTTTCCCATATTTTAAGGGTGAGATCATCACTGCAAAAATGGACCACACTCAAGTTAGATTCACCTAATGAATTAATTTCAAACTTGGTGTGAAATAATTTCATGACTTCCATATTACTAAGGAAATGGGGAAACTAAATAACTTCAAAAGAAAATTATAAAGTTTTATTGCTAACACGCACATAAATGGCCTACCTACAGGTAACCATTTTGTCTCCAGTTGCGTTGAAAGAAAGGGCCCAAACTGTAGAAGAGTGACCACTGGGAAGAAAATAAGCATAATAATTAAGTTAAACCTTGTTAAGCTGAAGCTAACTACCCTATGGCAATAAGAATGGATATATATATATATATATATATATATATATATATATAACTTAAAAGTTGTGAAAGCGACAAACAGCGAGAGAATGAGAGGGAAAGAGAAATAGTTATATACTTGTTAGATTCATCTAAAGTTTGAACGCAGTGCCAATCATCATTGTCATCATCACCTGCCCAAACCTGAAGTGGTTTCATCATCATAAATTAATAACATCTGTGTCAATCTCAAGTAATTTCCCTAGGCATGTAAAAAAAAAAACATATATAATATTAGAAGATGTCTTAGAATAACACCTTGATAGTATTGTCATAGCTACACGAGAATAAAAGATCCATGGTTGGGTGCCACTGAACCATTTTTACATCCTGTGTATGTCCTTGCAACACCGAAACACACTCATACTCATTGCCGGGCAATACTTCCCAAATCCAAACGGTTCTATCTCGACTGCATGTTGCAAGCAGAGAACCAGATGCATTCCAAGATACACTTTTGACCTCATTCTCATGACCCTAAACATCAACCAACGAGACAATTTTCAAAGCTTTCAATGCAATGATGAATAAGACAAATGCAGTAAAATAGCAGACAGCCCTATCCTTATGGATCATTGGGAGAAAAGCTTGCAATGAATAGTTATGTTTATATATATAATTCTTGATAGGAAGTACTACCTCTAGAGTGGAAACACATTCATAATCACCCCCGACATTCTGCCAAATAGCCGTGGTGGCATCAAAGCTTGCCGTGGCCAATGATTTCCCATTTGGCGACCAAGCGCACGACCTAACAGTTCTAGTATGCGTTTCTTCTAAAACTTCCTGCAAATAGCACTACATTAGCATTTCAGCTCGCAATGTCAAACACCTATAGATTCCGATGAGTATCTTATAACCGAATGGAAAATATCAAATTGCACAAAGCAAAAAGAACTCATGGAATATGAGAAACTCTCACGGTTTCATAAATTCAGCTGCTTAGGTTAGTTATCCAATTCCAAATATTTCGTGAAAACATCAGAGTAAAAGAACTAGTAGCTCTATAAACAATTTCCACAGAACCGAAATGATCCCATCGATGTTCAAAGCCAAGACGACATGACCTACTCTAGTAATCAGCCATCGAACATATTTACAGATGAAATAGAACCTTGCAGTTCCACGAGCCAGATGAGGGACATTGCTCCCATATACGAACGGTCTTATCGCCACTACAGGAAGCAAAAATAAGTGGAATTCCTTCAACTCCGGTGGCGGGATTCCATGCCAGACTCCATACCCTATCAGTATGACCTTCAAGCTTCGCAGCCTCCTTGAGCTCGAATCGCCCATCCCAAAGCTCCATCACAAGAATGGTGTTCGCTTGCAAAATCGTCGGGAATCTAGGAAGAGTATCAAGCCCTTGGTCCACAAGTATCCGAGATTCTTCAGCTGTGCTAAAATGGCGGGGAAGGGATCAGCACGCGCCGCCGCGGATTCTCTCCTCGATGAGTCGTCCGCTTTCAGAGATTCACACATTAAATGAAGTAAGACGACATTTCACGTCTCTAGGGAAAATGGAATAATGTTCCGACTGAAACGGTTTCGTTTTAGTTAACTTTATAACTAAAAAATGTTATGCCTTATCATTATATTAAAAAAATATATATAAATAAATAAATTCAAAACCAGCGTAACTGTCTTAAAAAAAAAAAAAACACCACTAAAAAATTGTAAATTCAATCCTCAACCCCTGCATATTGTAGTAAAAAATGTTACATATTTTATTTGAGCAGTTTTCATATTAAATTTTGGTATTTTGTACCTAGACCCATTTTGGGTGTGACGTAGAAAAATCTAGCTAAAATAAGCCCAACTAAGATAAAATTCGAGGGCTGCGCAATGCACATGCTCATTGTGCACTGGTTTTGGGCTCAAATTTTATCTTAGTTGGGCTGGGCCTCATAGGTGCACATTGAGCGGGTTCAAGTGGTTCTTGTATGACTCATAATCCAGAGGGCTACAAAGCCTCATTTAGTGCGGCTCGTTGGGTCATACGCTACACTTGCCAAGAGTTTGAGCATCCATCCATTATTGTGCCGCCATGGTCATGCCATATTAGGTAGCTTACAGGTGCGCAAACACCTTCGCCCCATGTTGAGCTGCTTATAGGTCGACCTTACTTCAATCCACCATTATAGGTCGGTTATAGGTCGATCTCACCTCAACCACCATTATAGGTCGACTATAGATTGGCTTATAGGTTAACCTCACCTCATCCACGATTATAGGTTGGTTATAGGTAAGCTCTRCCCAAGATCAATTCGTTCACACTACCACATCTTTTATAAATAGAATGACTTATGACCTTTCAAGGTACGTCATTTCCTCTCAAAACCATTCTTTACTTCTTTCATCTTAAACTCATATACTGAGTTAAACATCAAAGTGTGGTAGGCTAGCAGCACGTCAGCATCCACCCACCTTCTCTTTTTGAGCCAAGATCTCAGGTCAATTATAACTCCCTCAATCTTCCAAACAACAAGATGTTATCCTTCCTCTATTCACAATCCATCTGGTCATGCCTTATCCTAGCTAGACCCAATCGAGTGGAAGTATACGGTTCAATTAACCTCAACTTTCAGTTCGACCAGCTTCCCAAAAGTTGCTTCTAACACCTTACATAAAAATACATTTAAATTTTTGGCTGATTTAAAAAATGAAATAAAATTTAGAAAACTACTTCTTAATGAATTGAACAAATTTCGTAACCATATTTGTCAAGAGATTATACCAAACACAAAAGTTTTATAGTGGGGTGTTCACCATTTATACTAAACCGAAGCGGTTCGCACGGACCGGTAGCGGTTATTCCACCAGAGTCGAAGCGGTAAATCCGGTCGAGTTCCCGGCAGTTCGCCTTCGACAAATCAAGCATTTCCATTCCCGTCTTCGACAAAGGGCGCGAAAAGTTTTCTGCGAACCCTAACGCATAGATCGGAATTCAGAAGGCGAAGACTAACGAGAATATCTACCATGAATTCAGCAGGTCGAAGAAGCGGAGGAGGCCTTCTCGAAGGTCTGTACAGAGTGATTATGCGACGTAATTCTGTTTACGTAACATTCATCATCGCCGGTGCTTTCGTCGGGGAACGGGTAATGTGTAGATCTCATCCTTTATACTAATTAATGTATTATTTTGTTATGCTTTCCTTCTTATTTTTTGGTGGATTGTTGATTCGTTTTCGAGAACCATGGGCGTGTGATCTGAGGATATAGTTTTTGCCAATCATGTATATTGTTACTAAACTTCGTGGATCAGTGGCTTTATCTTGACTGATTAATTTAATTTTTTTTCAAACGAAATTATCTTGCTCGTGTGTCCTGGCACGCTGTCAAAAGTTGATGGTAAATTGTTGAATTTATGTGCATGAGGAGTGTCGATTAGAAACAGAGGCTTCATTTTACGTGATTGATTTAAAAGCTCGTTGATCATGATTGCGGTAATGCCACTTGAAATAGAAGCATGAATCTGGCCCATAATAGTTCCGATTCTGAATTCATGTGAAGCAACTTAGTTTGTCTTTCTCCATGTATGGAAATGTGGGATTTGGGCATCACTTGATCTGCTTACTGTAGTCACTAGTCAGACGACTTTATTTCTTTCTTTAAATTTTGTGCTATTATGAAAAACATGGGAGTGATATCAAGAAAAAAGGAAGATAAGGATTTTTTTTGTTTGTTTGTTCTGTTATTGTAGACGTAATGGGCATTGGTCTACATAATTTTAGCGCGAGACTAGAGAGTTGCATGGATTTGTGTTGTTTCTTTAAGTTACTAGTATCTGATTTTACCATAATGGCTTGGATTTCGTGGTGCAGGCCGTGGATTATGGAGTTCACAAGCTCTGGGAGCACAACAATGTCGGGGTATGGAACTTAGCACCATAATTTAATTTTCTTCGTCTTTCTCTGTATGTATTTCAAATCTTTCTATGAGCTCTCTCTAATGGTCAACTTGGCTGTTTTTGTGTTGTGTTGTACACTGGGTTAGAATGTTTGATGTTTTATCATGGATGTTTTGGCTCCCATTTTCAATAGTCAGCTTCAAATCACTCATCAGTTCCAATTTCTATTTGTGAACATTGTGTTGAATGTTATGGCATTGAAGTTAGAAATTTTGCATTTTCTTGAACTCATTGGTCGTTGATTTCCATTCCATTATCTACTCTAAATTCAAAATGACTTCCTGGTGTAGTGCATCAGGATGCATATGAAACTCTCACATGTATATTCTAAATACAAGACTATCAAGACCTGTAGGAACAATCATATGATGTCCTTGAAACAATTGAAGATGGAAACCAACAACAATAAAGTAGTATTTTATATCATTTTCTATCTGCAGTGTGATGCTTTCTTTCTCCTTTTTATGTTCTCAAGTTAAAACGTTCTTGAGTTCAATATAGTTTTAACGTCTACAAGGTTAAGGTTGGATTGGAAGTTCCCTGAGGTAATCGTGACTCAAATATAATTTATCTATTATATATATGTGCAAATCATGTTCTCGTGGTTTAAAATTAGTTTGGTTTCAAGCACTCTTGTCAAATGCCTTTTGCACCCTTTATATTTGTATGTCAAATGACCTGTTAATAATTAATAATGAGTCTCTAGAAACGTTTTCCAAAGTTGGTTTGCATTCAAGAAGTCTTAAATAGAGTTTCTATTTCTCCCATGACTTCATTAGCGTTGTCATTTGGTGAAGAAGTGCCCTACATTAGCAAAATGGGCAATGTGTGAGCCTTTATTTGTTAATTACAATGGCCTTACTTAGCTGATGGATTAAATGGAAGGAAGAAACATAAGGGTAGCCAAAACTGTTCTTGAAACTCGGGGTATGATTTACGTGATTGACAAATCATATATGTAATTTGCAATCATATCTAGTTTCTATTTGGTTTCACTTTTTCCTTCAATTAAATGTTGGTCTATATTATCCTACAATCTTACTTTGGAAGAGATGTTTACCTACATATGAATGCTATTACACTATTCTTGCACTGAATTGATGCCTTTCTTAACTTATTTCCAACTTTATTTTGAGAGATACTTTTAATGAAAATTCTATTTTGCCATATGATGGTCTTGTAATTATGCAGAAACGGTACGAGGATATTTCAGTTTTGGGGCAAAGACAGTCAGAAGAATGAATGAATTTGTTAGGCACTTGAAAGCTACACAGAATCATGGATTCAAGAGGTAAAAAACTGGTGGCTTAGGATGGTAATAAATGAGAATGCCATTTTCCAATGGGAAAACGTTCTCTCTTTTTGGTCTGGAGAGTTTGTGTTTCTTCATTAGATTATAATCATATTTTATTTGATTAAGTTTTGGAGGTACAAAATTCTTGTGTATTACACTTGATCGGTGAATAAACGAACATATCAAACATGGGCTAAAAAAACCGAACCAAGCAGTGAGTTTTGGTTTGGTTAGTCGTTTTTTATCAGTTTTGACCACCCTGCATAAGGCCACACCAGGGAACTTCTTGTGCAGTGAATTTGATGGGGGCTAATCACAAGTTCTTATCCTTTTTGCTAACGCATAAGATTCAAGTTAAATGGCAAAGAAATGCATTTCTGTACTTTGATGGAGAAAGTAAATTCTTGATAAGGTGTTTGGCTCCCAAAGAGTAAAAGATGTGTCGATATATCCATAAATTAGAAGTCTCGACATCGATATTAAGGATCAAATAATATTTCTGATATCTTATATATGGTACAACACGTGAGGTGGGAATTCGAACTCACGACCTTTTGTCGAGGATAAGTGCTTAAATCAATTTAACTTCGCAGGTTTTTTCTCATATAAATATTAATAAAACATGAAACAAAAATATCATTATAATATTGATAACAAAATTTATAACTAATTATAGAAATAAACTAACTTCTTTATTTATTAAAATAATTTTTATAAATTTCTTGGTTTACCAAATTGTCTAATGATGTCAATATTTTATCGTAACATTGAGATTTTAATAGCTTTAATCGACAACAATAGTTGCTTAATATCTTCGGATTGACACAAATGTAACTCAAAATTAAGAAGTTTGATTTCATATTTAATACTCACCTGTTTTGGATTTGCTCAGGTTAAGACTTGCCCTCATTTTTTAGGGTAAAATATATTTTTGGTCTGGAAAGTTTTAACTTAATTTCTATTTTGTCTATTAAGTTTAAAAAACCATAATTTTTTATCATTAGAATTTAAATTTAGTTTCTATTTGGTCTAAGTTTCAAAAGTAACATGTTTGTTTCATGAAGTATTAGTTTAGTTTTTAATTGATGTGTCAGTTCATAAAAAATACACATCATTAAAGTCTAGCAAGCATAGGTTAGTTAACAGTTAACACATCATCATTCAATTATCTCAACTCAACTCAAGAGTTAATTAGAAATTAAATTCAAACATGAGTGACCAATTAAAAAGTAAATTCAATTTTGAAGGACTAATTATTATTTTTGAAATTGAAGCTTAATTTAAGTGTAAGAGACTAAAATTGATGGTTTTTTAAACTCAATGATTAAATAGAAACCAAATTCAAATCTTATAGATAAAAATATATTTTTTATATTACATATAAGTTTGTACAAATATTTTTTTTTTCACAAATCTAAACTTTTTAAGTTTATTTTTTCGACATAATTTAAATTTATGAGTTCAATATTTTATGAACCTTTTAAAAGTATTTTCATTAAAAAAAATTGAAGAAAATTAATTTGTTCAATTTAAGGTAGAAGAACAAAAATAAATTAAATGAAAGTACAAAATGAATTAAAATAGTATTTAAATTTAAAATAATTAAAAAAAAATTACAGAGATTAAAATGATATTTACACTCAGAAGAAGGATTTTTTTTTTTGAAATGGAAATGGAATAACGCTTTTGGGAAGCAAATTCTGGTGAACCAGCTCCTCTCGCTCCCTCTCTTCCCTGCAGAATCTCGACCAATCTTTGGATCGGCGAGAAAATCAATCAATCCATCTTCAGAGATCCGCGACACAATAGCCTGAATCTGCAGGTCTTCAGATTACTGATCTCTGTTTACGATTTTCAAAGGTCTGGTTTCGATTTCCGCAGCTGATTTTTTTTTTCTCCGAATGTTTTTGAACTCCCTTGCTTTGATTCTCTCTTGTTTCATTAATCTTTCAAAAGAGGAAAAAACCCTAGCCGTGGTTGCTTCCTAATCGATCTCTCGTCTCAATCTCTCAGCAGCAATGCAGAGCATTAACTCATCAACTGAAGAACGCAGATTAGAAGTTCGAAAACTAGAGATCTGTGACAAGAACAAGGGCTTCATCGAACTATTGCAGCAACTAACGGTTTGCGATTCTGTGACGGACAAAGAATTCGAAGATAGGTTTCAGGAATTAAGCGCCCTAGGAGACGACCTCGTCATTTGTGTCATAGAGGACGATCGGTCGGGGAAGATCATCGCCACCGGAAGCGTTTTCATCGAGAAGAAATTCATTAGAAACTGTGGGAAAGTAGGGCACATCGAAGACGTGGTGGTTGATTCGAGTGCTCGTGGGATGCAATTAGGGAAGAAAATCGTCGGGTTTCTTGCGGATCATGCTCGCGCAATGGGATGCTATAAAGTGATTCTTGATTGCAGCGTTGAGAATCGAGGGTTCTACGAGAAATGTGGGTTCGAGAACAAGTCGATTCAAATGGCGAAATACTTTAATTGAAGAAGCCAGTGTGTTTCATCTTTGCGATTGTAAGTAGATTTGTTCTTGAAGAATTTTCTGCGCAATTATGATGGATTCATGTTTCTCTTGCTTTGATAATTTCTTTAAACACTAATTGCTTGAAAATACTTTGCGAACTTATCCTCCTCACAGTTAAATATTTGGAAAAAATCTCTGTTTTTTCATTGTTCTCCCTTAGCAATTTAATGTTGAAAATAAGCTTCCTAGCCAAGTATTTTCCTAATTATTTGGATTTCTTAGGTCTCAATTTCTTAAAAATGAACTTCTTCATTAAAGACCCTTGCAACAAATAGTATCAAATTGACTTATGTAAAATCAAGCTTGTTTATAAATTGAAAAGAAAGATACTTTACAACTGAGACGAATTCAGAGCACAAGTGAATAGGGTACTTTCTTCTTCTATTGTCGAGCTCGTCTTTTCGAAAGACACGTTCGAGGTAGAGAGACATATTAAAGGTCAAATGTATCTCTTGAGAGACACATATTACCCTCTTTTTTTTTTTTTTACTTCTAATTTTAAGAAAAGTATTGTGCTATCTCAAAATGCTAAGGTAAATGTTTGATACTTCTACTTCATATAATGATGCAAAATGTTCTGTGCTATATTTCCAATTTGTTTCACTTCATTTTACAGTGTTAAAATGATAAGAGAAGATCAGAATCTGCCATTACCAAGGCCAATCAATTTTTTACATAATAAATACTGATTATGCAGTCTAACCCTGAAAACACAAACTTGGTTATGGAGCGCAGTCTCAATCTTCAGCACTCTCCCAAACAAAGATTCAATTTCTTTCACCAACCAAAATTCGAAGCCAACCTCGTACCCTGGTGACTAATCAACAGGCTTGTTGAAACATCGGCGATTTCGAACCCACGGGTCATTGTCAAGACCTCGAGATCATGGAACTACATAAAAACAATAAACTAATGAGAGAAATTCACATAAGACATTAATGTGTCAATTGATATAAAGAGAGTTAACTGAGCTGTAGAAGCAAAATAAGAGGGAAGTTCCATCATCCAAGACTAATCGAGAGGTCTAAAGTTCTTTAAAATTTGTGGTACTATAGGAGTATGAATACACTTTCCATTCAATGATTGTCACGTCAACATCATATTTAAAATGACGTGAGATCCACCAACATTAAAGAATTATTTATAACCAAAAATCATAATGTAAAAGAGGATAGGTACTCCCCTAGTGTTGGAAACCATATTAATTAACTAGATCTTTCCTTCTTCTCCTTAGAGTACTTGATGGGTGGTTTGCCACAGACACTTGATTCCAATTTAATCTTCCTTATTTTCCCCTCTTTCCATTGTTGGTCATTACAGACATTCATGAAACTTACAACATTGTTTCAAGAATTGAGCCCCAGAGTTGTATCCTTCTCTTCATTTTTCCTTTTGATCGTATTAGTGGTTCTCTGCCTATTCCACGACTTCACAGAAGACCCGATTAAGCAAGTTTTTGGGTTAAAACCAGGAGACAGAATCACAATCAAGGAAGCTTCTCTTCTCCCATTCCCCCTATTTACTATATATTTTCTTTTTGATATCCATGAGTGTTCAGGCCAACTTGTGTGTACCTCAACTAATCTCACGGAACAACTGTCTTAACCTACTGCATCTGGTTGTCAAGGTAACTTGTAAAATATTAAATCTTAAGTAAGTGACCACAATGATTTGAATCATTCCCTCTGGACCTTTTACTATTTACATTTGGACTTTTCACTATTTACATGGGTTCTTATTTACTACTAAGCCAACCCATGATGTACATGCAAGGTAAAAATATCATGGAAAATATTTTGCACTCTAATACCGTTGCAATGCAATGTATGAACGTACAAATATTCTCAAAAGAAATATGAATTTCATCCTTAGTGTGGTCGATATGGTAAAGTGCAGATAAACAGAAAATATAGCTTCTTAAGCTCTGTCGATAGGTGAATTGGCAAACAGTGATTATTGAAGAGTGAAAAGTAATACATACATTACCAGTTGACACACCAATTCTCTAATCTGACTTTTCGATCTCTCGGAACTTCCTTTCCCATTCTTGGAGCTCATAGTCTTGCTCAATTAAGTCTCGATCAGTACTATATACAATTCGATCCTGACCAATTACAGTTCTTTGGGCCATGTCTCGAGCACTGAGAAGCTGATGAGATTAAATTCAAAGAATTAGAGACTCTCATGGAACAAAATATCCGCAGAGATGTAAACAGATATGCTTTTCTAATAGAAACAGAATGCTTAATAAAATTAAGAAGCAGGTTCAGGAAAATTAATAGCATCACCAGAGAGGATAATACTTCCCAGCCCAAAATTAAGTGCATCAGCAGGCAATTGTCCCACATGATGTGTAATGTTCCACTCAAAGAAAATGCAACTTATGGCATGCATGCAAATGGTGAAAAAGACATTGATAGAGATCTCAGAATGATGCTAAAAGATGACACTGGTGTGAAAAAAATAGGGCTTTGTTCATATGGTACTTTCTTCTTAACGCATGCACCAACCATTTAGAAAACATCCGCCATTAAAAGAGATGATCAGATCTACGGAGAGCAAACTTCTTCTGGTGATCTAATATTTAATTACCTTCCGTCTGAGTGACACATCTGGCAATTCAAGGGCTTGGGCACGCTTTTGCCTTGCTTGGTTTCTTTTTCCTATTTCAGCATTTCTCTTCTGGATAATGAACCACCGGACCAATGGAATCGTGAAGAAAGAACCAGCATATATCTGCATAGTTTTCCTCGTAATTATAAAAATACAAGCCAACTAATTCATTGGACAATTATACGATAGATAGAAGTAATTAATGATGTTAAAGCAATTTCTGAATTTTGAAGTTACAACGAATCAAACCTGCAGTAGAGGAAATATATCCGATACAAATTTGATAAGTCCACTTGGTTTAATAGCAACATCCCTACAAAATGGAATTGGGGAAAATTATTAGATGTTTAGAGAAACCACAATTAAACAACCCAGTCCAAATATCCATACTTCAACATGGTTCCAAGGATTATAACACCAAATAGATTCAGCCCTCCCAACCCAATGGCCATTGCTCTCTCTGAAGAAGTTGTTTTACTGCAGAAAAATTTTTTCCAGATCATTGATAAATTTAAATAATACTTCCCAAGAAGAAAAAAGGAACTTAATCACGGTACCTAAAGACCCATTTCTTTTCCTTGAAAAATTTTTCAACCCCTCCAACCCAGTCAGCCCATTTTCTACCCACATACTCCTTCCTTCCACTCCGCTGAGAAGAAGCTGTGCGCTGTAGGGAGGGAAATCGATACAGAATATTTCCCTATACATAAAGAACTTTTAGTGAATAACTTTTATTAATAGAAAAAAAAAGTCAGATATCAAAAAACAAAGCGCAGAAGAGGATAAGAAATTCTTTACGAAAAAAGTACAAGTTACAAAAGTTTTCCATTTAGAATATTAGAAGTCATAATAAATACCAAATTTCAAAGATTTCGCATATTTATACTAACAATAGGGACAAATTATGTCCCTTAACATGTTAAAAATCCTTTTGTTTTCCCCTGAAATTAAGCTAAAAGCCCAAATGTGAGGCTGATATTGCATGCTTCCAAAAAATCATTTCCTTTTACTAGCAAATGCTCTCCTCCATAAATATTCTATCAAGTAATAAGTTTTCGTCTAACTTTAACAGTTTAAGCTTTTAGGGATAATTTTAATTTAATATAGAATTAGAACAGAAGATCTAAGTTTACATCATGGAATACTATCTCATTCTTCATTTCAATAAGACCGATACATTGGCAGAAATATAATGTCTACAGTGGAGATTATACTCCAATATCAAAATCATTATCCATTACATAGCTTTGTATTAGCATAACGGCGCCTCAAGGTGGTGACTGACTTGTGTTCGTATGTTATTGACATCAAATACGGGTCTAAGTGATAAACAGAGCTAATTGCATCCTTTCAAGTACTTCGTACCTCTTTAAACATACCTCTTCATCAATTTCAGGTTGGCCATCAAAACGTAAAAGAACTGGTAAAATATATGATTCATCATCCTGCAACCATCAAGAGGATGAAACAAAGTCAAACAGAAAACAAAGATTTGAATTACACTAAAAAATGAGTTGATTCCACCTAGAATGTCAAATAGCCGTCAACCAACAATGATTGGCGACCTCAATAAAATTATTCATATCTTGGAGAAGGCATCAATTCTTAAGGTTGATTTTTTTTGCTAGATTCATCATGGCTGGATCTCTTGTATGAATATTCAAGAGAATTGCTTACCCACCCTTATAGGGATTCTGGAAACTGCTTCAAGTTCTCTTACATGTTAACTTGCTCTTCAGAAGATCATGTGGGCGGACCTTAGCCAGAGGTCATCAAGGTCATTTTGACTCATTTGGAAGTATTCTCATCTAGATCAAGGTGTTTGAAAACCCAAGATAGAATCAAAATTCATGTCTCTCTCCTAGTTGATGTGTGCCATGAGCGAAACAGCTTTTTGGTAGTAGTCGCGACCAACTGCCATCAGTTGTCATCTCGTTGGTAAAGCGAGAACTTCAAGCCTGATTTTTGGTAGCACACCCCACACAAGCACCACCACAAAGGGTGGATGGGGAGAGCTACAGGCAATGCCCTATGCCCTTTCAGTTTGATTGGAGGAAATTGTTTCACAGTTCTAACTTGATCTTGTCACTACTCAGAGGAATTAGGGACACACTGTACTCTATTTTGTGTGGTCATTACTACAAAAGGAAAGCCAAAACCATATGGCTAAATGCAGTCTGGTTGAAGACGAATAGGACAGTCTTCCCAGGAGAAGAAAAAATATTGGAGGTAATGTGCGAGAATTGTGATTTAGTTTTGTTTGGAATGCTTTACAAAAGGATTTTTGTAACTATGGCAGTTATCTGGTTTGTGCCAATTGGAGAGAGCTTTATAACTCCTACTTTTGCCTTGCATCTAAAATGTTGTTTATAATTTAAAAATATATATAAAGAAACAATGTACAAAATCTAACATTAACTTACCATGTTCCCCTCTCTCACATCCAGATATGGTGCAAGTTCTTCAGCAGTTACAACACCACCATTGGAGGTAATGTATTGCCCAATCTGCACGTATAGCACAAAATGTTAACTGATGTCAATGGTTATGTTTAGATATATATAATGTCTACAAACCGCTCATAGATGACAATTAAAACCAACTTCAGACTTCCTATTACAGAAGTCAAGTACTAGAAAAAACCAATGAGAAGCTGAGATATATTTGATGGTACATATGATGCAAAAACAGTTTCTCATCTTCTCAATATAAGCAAGATAAAGTGGGGATAAAGTTAAGCGAGTATAAAGAAAATGAAGAGTGATGATCTAGAAAAATTCTGAAATTATCATCCATCTGAAGAAACTTCACAACCAGCTTACTAACTTCTACTTCTATTTGTCTTAATAATCAATAGAAAACTAAAAACCTTCAACATAGCGTCACAACAGAACATGGAAGTTTTTCAAGAAATCAAGACTCAGAGAAAGTTCATCCAAGAGTGGAAAACGTTAATAAAATAAGGAAACTAAATACAGAACCGAAAACCCCTTTGAGTCTCATACGTAACTTCAGAACATAGGGAGTTCATTAAGAACTACAATCATGTCAAAATTATTGAGCGAAAAAGTTCACAACAGTGAAAAAGGAAAATAAAATATTGAAAGTAACGGACCACTGAACACAGTCCTCAAATATTACCAACTTCCATCTCTCTTCTTCGATTCCTTGATTTGGATCACCATCGCCAAAAACAAATGAGAAAATCTAAAAAACAGCAATTATAAAGTTAGCATTTAAGTTCTCAGCTTAAGTAGTACACAATCGTAATAAAAACTAGAAATCATTTAATCACATACAGATTCAATGAAGTTCATCTTATTATCTTCTGTTTGTAATCTACGTCTCCTATAGTAGTATGGATCCCAGTACCTAAAACGGTATCAACAAGAGGAATAATTGCCAAAAGTCCTCTACAAACAAAGCTGTAAATTGCATAAATATATATATAGTATGCATATATTACCAAAAAAGGTCAGTTGGACTCAAATAGAACGTGAATCCTGAATCATATGATCTGCCACGTCTTCCGCGATTATCCTCTTCACTGTATCATTAAACTTGGATCAATATTTGCAGTTACCTTGAGCCAATACTCTATAGTGGTTCATGAATTCAATCTTACAAAAAGAAGTGATAGTGAAAATAATAAGAACCTTCGGCTCGAAATAAGAGCAATAATTGTAGTATATACAAGAACGATTGAAGCAATTAGTGCCGTTCCAAATGAAACCCTGACAAGATATTCAGCAGCGGCCTGAAAATTGAGTTAATACCGCCATTACAACGCACAAATATTGTTCCCAGAGACTAAAACTTTCAGACAGAAACTCAACACTCCCTGACTAATACCTTTGACTTCTCTATAAGAGGTTCACATTTTATCCAGAATGATTTGGCTGCAAGCTTTGAACGATAATCTTTGGGGAAAACATAGAGAACGTCGCCCTCGTCAGAAACCTGTTAAGACCATCTTGAGAAAATATTCAGTTACAGAATTAAGAACTTCAAAAGGCCTATAACTTGCATTTACAAATAGAACGAATCCAGTTTTTCCCGTTCTCATTCCTAAGAGAAGAACAATAACTTCTGCGTATCCAACTTGGTGTTGTGTTTGGTTAACTCTTCCATTGATACGCAATTCTATGAGTTAATGATAAGTACCTCTAAAAAGCCATTTGTATCAGCAGCTAGAGCTTGCAAAGCCTTCTGAGCTTCATTGAGCTTGAGTCCCGCTCTACTTGCAACGTCCCCAATGGTTACTCTCCCTCCACAGGCGTCCACAGCCTCCATCGCTCTCTTTCTCACATCCGACGGCAATTTATCGCTCTCCACAGCGTTTCCAGGTCTGATATCGGAAGGAATGTCAATGCCCGCTCTCACGACCGGAACCGAACCCCTTACCCTGGATTCCGGCGGCGAAATTCGCGTCTGAATGGCCGGAAAAGTGACGGGATAGGGCTTTAAGGAAATTGAGGGTTTAAGGGTGATGAGAGGGTGGAAATAGAAGCGAGAACTCTGTGAAATGGCGAAGCAAGTGGATATTGTAGCCATGATTCCCAGACTTGACGAACTTGGAGCTTCAAGTTTTGGCCATGGAGATCGAAATGCGTGCAGTGGATGACTACTGTATCTCTTCGGCGAGTGGCTCTGATTGGGAGTTGCTCGGATTTTTTTTTCTTTTATTTTTTGGTCCTCTTTCTGTCGCGCGAATCTCGGTCTCAAGTCTACTATATTAACATTTCAATTACGCGGGGGAAATAATAATAATAATAATAATAATAAGCAAACATAACAAGTAATTGACAAATTTGACCATGTAATGTGATTTCTTCCTCTTCGAGTAATCAGGCATCTGTTCAACCAATTTCATCAAATTAAATTATCAATTTTAATAGGTGACAAAATTAATAATTCCTTCAAATCAAATTAAAAATTCTCCTATGGGTTAATCAATAAAAAACAAAATTTTTGTAAGAATAAAAATAAAAATAAAAATTTAACCACATCCATGGCTATCTATAAATGTCTCGTCCCATTTAATTTTCTATCACCACAAAATTTCCAACAAAATTTAATGGGATTAGGACGGGAATTCTAAGTAGAGAATTCAGGGGAATTTAGTTCCTATTATGTCTTTTTTTCGTTTATTTTTTATTTCTTAAAATTGTTTTTATTATATATTGCTTTAAAATAAAATTTCAATTAATTACTTAATTTATAATGATAAACCTGTCAATTTTTGGTGGCGGGTAGAGAACAATAAAATTATTTTTTCTAGTACATGTATATATAGAGAACAATAAGATTTGATTATTTTATTTATGAGTGTGTATATATATTTTAAAAAGGTGAAACGGGGAATATAAACTTATTCTCCATCCTTGTGCCCAAGGTAACAATATGAAGCTTCTTCCATCTTTGCCTTGCAGGAAATCTAAATAGGAATTCTCCGTCCTGTTTACGCGGGTCACTGTGGAATCTCATCTCTACGAAAAACAGACTTCTCTACCCACAACTAATATTGAAAAGCTCAAAACCTAAATACAAAATAAAAACCAACCATAAATATGTATATTAAAAAATAACAATAAAAACCTTTATTAAAAACCAAAAAACACAATAGTAATCTTATTCTACTATTAAAAACCTTCATAGTTACCTCAAAATTTTAAAAACAACATACTTAACTAATTAAGGATTCAATTTTATCGCTTATTTAAGTTGATAAGTTGAATGTTTCGAATTTGGAAGGTTTAAAGTTTAACTTGAAATATTAAATTATATACATTGGTAAATATTTTGTAATAGTAACTTAAAAATAATTTTTTGGGCCTGATAGACCATCAGCCCAACTTGAAATACAGTATTTGGGCCAGTTGTTTTGCGCATAAGATTCAGCCCACATGGTAGGCCCAGGATTATAAATTTCAGCCCATCTTAAATAGTGGTTGGTGGCGACGCTATGAAAATGGATTCCCGGGAAAAATCTTCTCACCATCACCGAAGCCTCACAAACTCCACTCTCTGCAACAGAAATTTGAAATCGCCGAGCAAAAATGCTCCACTGCAACCCTCTCGTCCTCTCCAAAACCTCGTTCGGATCTTCAACTCCTCCTCCTTCAAGAATCATTCACAGATTGTCCTTAAGCTCCGTCGTCGCCGATTCTACGGTCAGGAACAGCGCCACTGTAGCTACTTCACCGTCGCGAACGACCATTTCCGCGCAGGAAGCTCGAGTCTCTCTTGTTTTTGCTCTCGCTTCCCAAGCATCTTCTCTCTCTCAGCGCGGTAAATGTCTCAGTATTTGATTTTGTGATTAATTGTACTCGAAGTTTCTGTTCTTGTTTAATCCGATGTTATGTGGTTGTTCTGCAGTTTTGTCGGAATTGGCTACCGAAACTTTGAAATATTTGTTGCCTAAGAGGTTCGAGAGTCGGAATTTAGAGGAGGCTTTAATGGCAGGTATTTTTATTTTTTCTTGGAGAACTGTGTTGGTTGGTTGTGAATGTTGCACTTGCTAGTTTTGTCCTGCGATTTAGTTCTAATGTATTTCAGCTCGTATTTCTGTCTTTTTATTTGTCTGAGTTTATTGACTGCTCTTGATGAGTTAATCTAGTTCCCGATCTCGAGACTATGGAGTTCAAGGTCTTAAGTCGGAGAGACGAATATGAGATAAGGGAGGTTGAGGTATAATTTCCTCACTCCTCAATTTACTTTTGTACAGCCTTATTGCTTCATTACTAAAGACTTACTCTAACAATTAGCTCACAAACTTTGCATTGATCGATTGAAACAGCCTTACTTTATAGCGGAAACAACCATGCCTGGAAAGAGTGGATTTGATTTCAGTGGTGCATCTCAATCTTTCAATGTCCTGGCTGGGTACCTTTTTGGTAAGGTAGATTATGAAGTATCCGAGATGAAATTTGTTAATGTTGATCCCTGTTCGTCCTCTAATTCTAAATCTGGTTCTAATTCTAGAACACGGTGAAAGAGAAAATGGAAATGACAACTCCTGTTTTGACGAGTCAATACAAATCTGATGGGGAAAAAATGGATATGACAACTCCTGTAATAACGAAAAATGTAAGTTCTTCACATGTAAAACTAGTTAGACCTCTTCTTTCATTCATATTTTCAAATATGAAATTTATGAGTTTTCCAGATCGTGTATTATGAAGTTGTAAAATTTTCTACCACCTTTGTTTTTCCAGGTCGATGGTAAAGATCAATGGAAGATGTCATTTGTCATGCCCTCCAAATATGGTCCAAACTTGCCAGTGCCCCAAGATACTTCTGTTAGTATTCGAGAAGTCCCAAGGAAAATTATTGCAGTTATTGCCTTTTCGGGTATTTTCCATTTAATCTATAAACTCAAGTCTTTCCATGTTGAATCCGAACTTCACGTTTGAAAATTTTTCACCTTTTCCTACTTTCCAAGTGCATACAAAGTTCCAATTCCGCAAAAGTTTAAATTCTTTTGAACAATGACTGATGCTAAATATTTTTCTGCCAAGTCCACATCATCGTACTTCAATCTTTATAAGGTGTTAAACAATTCAGGATCCTTGATTCCAAATGTTTCTATGGAATCCAATTAATGTGTTTTTTTTTTTCAATTAGGTTTTGTCACCGATGAAGAAGTTAAACGGAGAGAATCCAGATTAAGGGATGCTCTGAAGAATGACAAGGAGTTTCAAGTTAAAGCAGGCAGTTTTGTGGAGGTTGCACAGGTATTATATAAGTAATATATTTATTTTTTCCTAATGTAAATATATTCTTGCGTATTAATAGTTGCTGACTCTGTGTACATGGCTGCAGTATAATCCACCCTTTACTCTTCCATTTCAACGTCGTAATGAGATTGTGCTGGAAGTAGAGAGGAAAGACGTATAGCAGCATTATTGAAATTCTCCTCGTGTATAGTAACATTTTACTCATATTATAGACTGTTTATGTGTGTATATATGTCACTTTCACTTGTAATTACAGCTCCATCAGGCAGTGAATGGTGCACCTATGAAACTCGATACTAAAGATTTGAACATGCTAATGCCTTCAAATATTTCACCCCAGTCTACCACCTGGATATGATATTTGGAATTTCCATGTGCCTTGGGTTTGGATAAATGATGATTCACTGAACTCCAAGGTTTCTCTGCAGGATTATGTCCATTATATTAAACTAACAAGTGTGGAATTATCTAGAGTTGAAATGCCATGTAGGCATCCAATAATTGACTTTAGAGGTTTGCATAGTTTTCTTTCCTTCACTATTTGTTCTATTTAGGCAAGAGCTGCATTAGTTTTGTTTACGATATGACCTGCAACTCCAACATAAATTGATAGGGGAATTCCATTCCCTTCTCAATAGAACTACCCAAGCAGTTCCATGATAGAGATGTTATAAAATTGAAAAGAGTTGATTTGGAGGTAAATGGTTCAAATTCCTGTTGACTATGAGCCATAGCTCTACTACCATGCTATCTTAGCAGAAAAGTGGTTGCACGACCCTTTTTTTTTTTTTAGTACATCATGTTGGGGAGGAGATTTGAAGTCTCGACCTTTTTTGTTGGAGGTATATGTCAATTACCGCTGAGTTATGCTCGTTTTGGTGGTTGCACAAGTGCAATATGAATTGGCTTGGAAAATTAATTGCTGCTCCCGTTTTGCTGGATGACTCAGAATTCAAATGTAAGCTTCAATTTTAAGAATGGATTAGTTTTGTTATATAATTTTGACCTTGTTCATTAAATTGGCAGGTTAAATTTCAGCCTGCAAAGGTTCTTATACGCAGCAGCATAACTATAGGTCAGATAGAAATACAAACTAAACTCTAATTCCATATTTGGATTCTGTATCTCAGATTCTCAAACCTCTATCTGGTCTATGTTTTCTTCAGGATAGTGTGCTTAATCTGTTTGTTATTATTTTCTTTGCTTGAATGATAACTAAAGATACCAAACACTTTAAATCATTAGGAACGAACTATTGGAGAATTGTAAATTCAGGGTTCTAGCTAGTTTACTTCAGAATGCTATGAAGTAGAGTCTTCATTCTTTCGCATTTATAATGGATGAGGACTTCTATTTAAAAAAGAAAAAAAAGGTGGTATCAATGAGAATTTTGTATCCATCCTCGTCTTTTTTCACTCGGCTTAAACTGATCAGAAATAATTTGTTGATCGAAGATTGTTCAATCAGCAACAGTTTCTGCAATTCATTTTGATTACCAGTTCAATCCTCACCACACTGTTTCCTACCGCCGGAATGAAAAATCTAATCTGCTTCTTGCTAGCCTTAGACAACTGAGGAAGAACAAAATATATCATACGGGACCAAATAGCAGGTCCACTTCATGCTGGCAATGCTGCGAGGCTGGAAGCTTGTCAGAAAATGCATACCGCGTAGCCAAGAAAGTCTGACATAACCCGGTGAGAACTTTAATGGATGCTCTATTTCCATGATTTTACCATTTATTTAATGACCGTTGAAACTTTCCCGCATGATCAAACAGTTGCTCATTGTTCCGTGTATGAGTGCTTAGCTTGAAATTTTACCGCAAAAAGTTTGATTTCTAAGTGAAGGGTAAGAGTAGGATTTGAAGATGGATGAAATTTAAAGGGATCATTCATGAATGTCCTGGTAATTGTTATTTATTACGTAGTCATAGAGGATCTATGTTTTGATGTGAAACATTGACTTAGAGAGCTCATGATGAAGATATGGGTTAAGACCTCATGGTGAGTTGTTATTAGGACTGATGAGATTGCGGTGTAGTTGAAACTACAATTATGGAACAGGATTTAGAATAAAAAACCAAATTTGTTGCTTCCACTTCCACCTTTCAGAGCACTTCAAAGCCATTCATTTCATATTTTTGATTGAGGATATCAAAGGCATTTGAGTTGCATATGAAATATCAATATTTTTTCTCGCAGGATTGAGGATAGAAAGGACATCTCCAACAACAATGTATTATTTTTACCTCTCTCAATATTTATTTGTTACGTTTTTTTTAGTACAATAAATAAAAGTGGAGATGAAATTCGAATCTACGACATTTTAGTCAGATATATACTCTAATCAATTGAGCTATTCAAGTTTGGAAAAATCTGTAAACCTTCTTGACCTTCTATTTAAATTACTAAAAAGAAACTAGATTAGTGAGTAAAAAAAGTAGAAATAAAAGTTAGGAGGGTAGATAGAAATAGAATAAAGACCAAGTGACACGGTGTTTATACTACACGACATACGACATGTCGTTTGAAGTGCACAGGAGCGACGATGTGTAGTTTCATTTCGACCGAGAACAAAGAATCCGATCCACAAGCCAAATGGATAGATAAACGGGAAATCAATGCTAAACCGAATTACCTGTCGCATTTCTGACCACCTATTATTAATTTATCATACTTTTGCCCATTTCACGCTTGCAGATCACGTGCCAACCTCTCCAGCTGCCGGAGACTAGTCGCTGGTCGGAATCTGGTGGGGGAAACATGGCGGGAGCTCTGAATTTGTCATCGACTCTATTCTTCAGACAACTTCCGGGCACTAAAACCCAAAAAACCTCCATTTCTATTCGAGCGACCTCCCAGCAATCTGAGAGTTCTTCAACTTCAACTTCCGTGGGGACTAAACAAGATGAAAACCTAGGATTTTCATCCTCATCTTCTTCATTTTCTCCTCCGCCCAACTTCAAGCCACCGGAGCCTAAGCGTTTCGGCGTGAGACCCGACAAGATTTGGGATGTCTTGGGCGCTTCTCTTTCCTTGATTTTTCGGCTTGGGACTGGTGTATTTGTTTCCGGGTATGTAACTTTATTTTATTTTACTTCTTTTTATTTTTTCATCTATTTTGTTTTATTTCTTTTTAATTTTTTACTTTAGCCAGTTGGCTGAAGCTTAATATTACTTTCGGCTTGCTGTTAGAATATGCTCTTAGTAACAGATTTACGTTCTCAGAAATCAGATAGAGTCTGAATTTTAGGAAATACTGAAATATGATGGAAGATGGGCTTCTTAGTTCTTTCTCGAATTTTTCAAAATGGGAAGGCATAAGATGTAGTATTTCTACCGGTTCATTTTGAATTTTTTTTATTTCAGAATAAAAATAAATTACATAAAACATAGCCGAAGGGCCTGTAGAATAAACCCTTTTATTGAAGCAATTAGTCGGACCAAGTTATAGAATAGATTTCACAAGTTGAAGTTCAGAACTCTTTTACATAAATCCTGTTGAGTGTTAGATGCTTGGAATGTTCTAAATGGGCTTGCTTATATGCTGTATCATGTTAGGTACTCGGCATCTTTGGTTCCCAAAAATGAGTTCCCTCCAGACAAATATGCTCTTGAAATTGCTGGTAACCATTGTTATTGGTTTATTTCTGTTAATTAGCTATAAGATGTTTATCTTAGGGTGATTGCACTTAAGTACGTGGAATTCACTTATTTATTTGTGATTTTTTTAATAATATTTGAAGGTATTCGGTATTCCACATTGATTTTCTGATAGGACAATATTTATAAATTATAACCAACATCTAAGTCCGTGATCATGCGCAGAACCTTTTAAACCGACATAGTAGAAAGGAAAACTTAAAGTTAATGTTTTTGCCTGCAATTTTGGCCAAGTGTTAAATTAATGTCGCCAGGTTATCAACTTAATCTTAGAATGAACCATTTGAGTTTCAATAATTAAATGAAACAAGAGAAGAGAGAAAGAAAGCCAGCTGAATGCTAATCAAGTTTCAGTCCTCATTAAGTTAAGGAGATGCTTCATATGATATCTGAAAATAAAATCTTTTGTTATAATCATGCATGGCGACAGCCCAAAGGGGTAGCCCAGTTGACAAGGGTTTTGGAGTCTTTTGGTCATACTAGCTTAGAGGTCTCAAGTTTTAAACCTTAGCTTAATATCAAAAACGCTTGATGTCTTCGGGGTCTGGGCCTTCGAGCGGGCACAGGTGCCTCTAGGTATAAGGGAGCAAAGCTCTGACTCCTGGTTCTTAGAAAAAAAAAAAATTCATGCATGCTGACAAGTTCTTGTGAATTTTTATTGATTATGGCTGATTTATAGGTTACAAGGTCAAAGAGACTTCAAAGTTAGGGCCTCGCCCAAAGAAGCCTATTGAAATATATGAGTTTGAAAGGTATTTCCCTTGCACTGTACTGGAGGTTGGCATAATGAGGTTTTATATTTGTGTTCTAAAGCCTAGACTTACTCGTACTCATTTTTGTTCAAATTTTAACTTTGATATGTTTATATTTTCTAAGATTGAATATAGACTAACTTCAATCTTTCTTTTTATTACCTTCTCAATTCATGGTTTATCATCAACGGATACAGTTGTCCATTTTGCCGGAAGGTAATTTGCCCCCAAAGAACTTCATCAAGTGAAGGATCTTGCATTTCCATTTTTTTCACAAGTTCCTTTGCATTTTTCATTAATCTTGAGCTCCTTTTGGAATAGTATTTCACTTGCGACACCTGATGATCCAGAAAACATGAGTATGTTGTCGGAATATTTTTTGTGTTTGCAGGTCAGGGAAATTGTTGCTGTGTTAGATCTTGATATTCTATTCTATCCTTGCCCTCGAAATGGTCCAAATTTCCGTCCCAAGGTTGCTCAGATGGGAGGAAAGCAGCAATTTCCATATATGGTTTGAAAATTTCCCTTTTCCATTTCATTCATTTAATTTCTGATATCTTTCTATTTGGAGCAAATCAAATATTTATTGATATTGCTCAAGGAAATATCAAGAATGAAGGAGGTCAAAATATAGACATACCACCCAGTACGGTTTTACAGTGTTTTGGATGCATCTCAAAATTTGGAATTCTAACTCAATACTGTAACTCAAAATAAATGATAATCTTGGAAGCTTAATTGTTTCACTACTGAAAGATTGACCATTTCCAGTTTTCCCCATTCCCTCCAATTCTAAATCAATATTAGATTTTGTAATCGTTTGCTGTTGTTGTATATGTCTTAATTCCATCTTTTTTGTTCAACCAGAAACTCTTAATGAATTGCTAAGCTCCATATTTGGTATCTGTTTGCAGGTGGATCCAAATACCGGAGTTGCTATGTATGAATCGGATGAGATAATCAAGTATCTAGTTCAAAATTATGGTGCGTGCTCATCACAAATGTTATGAACAATTTAATCCGTTTTCTTTTTATTTATCTAATTATTTCTTATTATTTGCTTCGTCAGTTTAAAGATATCTTAGGAAATAGATGAAAAAAATTTAATCCATTAAACGTCAGTTGTTCCTTCCTTTAGTTACAAAGAAAATGGAAAGTTCGAATCTCATTTTGATAATTTTAGCAATTATACCAGCCAAGTCGAGAAGTGGCAAGATAATAGATATTGAGTCCATATTGAGACGACCCGACCCTGTTAAACTAAGCAAAGATGCTTCTTTCGTCTCAATGTCCAAGCATTACACTTCTTGAACTTGTAATATTATTCACTTTAACTAACCTTATGTTCACGCAGGTGATGGAAATGTACCTCTCCTTCTCTCTCTTGGACTTTTGACGGTTAGCAGTTCACTCCTTTATTTATTTATTTATGTAATAGTATTTGTTGAAATGTAGAAAAAATTGTAATAGGCTAAGGTTGTAAGTTGAATGCCCTTTTTTCTGCATTGGGCTATAATTGACAAAGTTTCTTGGTGCAGACTTTGACAGAAGGCTTTGCTATGATTGGTCGTCTGGGCAGGGTTAGATATATTCAAATCCGAACTTCTTAATTTTGTAGATAATCTCTCGCTTTGGAAAGTTGGGATGAAGTTCATCTATCCGAAGCAAGAAATTTATCGCATGCCGCATTCATTGTTTGTGTTAATTTCAGGGTTCTATTTATAAGCCATCAAAGCTACCACCTGCCCCCTTAGAAATATGGGCATATGAGGTCATTGAATCATCGACTTTTCTGATATTTTAATGTTTAAAGTTCTTTTGTAATTGTATTTCATGACAATCGACATATTTTGGTGCAATGATGGATACGTAAAATTCTCTTCCCTTTTTACAGTATTTTGAAATCCTTTACTTCTCTTTTCTCTCAGGGTTCTCCTTTTTGCAAACTTGTTCGTGAAGTACTAGTAGAGTTGGAGTTACCACATTTAGTACGTTGGTAAAGTCTCTTACACATTCAAATAGCGATGTCCATTATAAATTTTATACTGTAGTTCATTTGGCATATTAAAGTTTTAATTACACAGTGATATACTCACTCATCATCTGGATCTTTGCACATAATTGCCAAGATTTATGTTTTTTTCTTAGGGAAAAAAACATCTCACTTGTCATCTGGATCTTTGCACATAAATCATAATTGTCTAGATTTATGTTTTTTTTTTCTCGAGGAAAAAAAATATTAGTCATGCATGGGCATTAGTAGCACCTCCAAAATTGTAACTTTTTAATTAATGCATTAGAAGCATTGAGTTCAAAAAGTACTTTGAAACATTTTCACGTGTGTTTTTATTCATTATCACATTTATACCCAGTTGTCTGTTCTTGGTTTCTGAAAGTATATATGCATGTTTGTGATTGTGAATTGTGTCTTTTTTTTTTACGACAAATGCAAGGATGTGGAGATTTGAACGTCCAACCTCGAGGGAAGTTATATGCCTTTTTTACCACTGAACTATACTCGTGTTGGCAGGGATTACGTGTCATACTTTTAACAATTTTGTGAAACATTATAAAGTTTTTGGGATATATGGCACGTGCATACCTAGCTTAGTTTTAATATTTGTATGAAAAAAATGTTAAAATTGATAATAATCATATAACTAGCTACATTATATTGATCCCTGTTTCATTTTTTAGAGCTTTACATTTTATCCCTACATAGATTACAGCAGAACCAGAGAAAATCTTATAAAACAATTGTTGGATTTAGGTTGATGCTAAAATGACAAATGCTATAGCCTTCAGTACATCTTACGTATGTCGATATTTTTTGCGATGCTTAATTCTCTTTTGTTTGATTCAGTTGCGCTCGTGGGAGCCCAAAACGACAAGAGTTGTATGAGAAGGCGGGAAACTTTCAGGTAAATCTAATAAATTACCGCTAAAGTGATGGTTTTTCTTTCTTTCTTTCCTTTTTAAATCTTTTTACAGTCACGTTTTTATTATTCTTGTATAAGCAAGGTCAATGATAGTTTTGTACCAAATTGCTGATAGGTTCCATACTTAGATGACCCAAACACTGGGGTGCGAATGTTTGAAAGTGCTGAAATAGTGGAGTATCTTCAAGCAACCTATGCCCTTTAATAATAAGTCATTTTCAAGGTCAACTCTTCTTCTCCCCTTCTTTTCATACGCTTTTGGATTTTTACGGTCACAAAAAGTTCCTGCATTTGACACCTAGAGCTCCTGGGGAATGAGTATACTATTAGAATTACATAAATAGCTTCAAGATTTGCTTTGGCCCTCCTTAAATCATAAGTGACTCATTGATCCAAAGGGACTAAGATAAATTGAGAGGAAATAAATTCAAACCCATGTTGGCCACCTACTTTAGGAATTAATTTCTATGTATTTTCCAACACATAATGTTGTAGGGTCAAATGACTGCTCCAGTGCGTGTAAGCTGGCTTAGACACTCACGGATATAAAAAAAAATTTTATTTGACTGCCTTCATGCCTTGGTTTAAAAAATTTGTTATAGGGAGTCGTTATTCTCTTTCGTCATTGGCATGAGCATGTAATTCATGAAAATAGTTGAGGGTCTGTTTGGGAAGCCTTGCTTTAAAACAATTCCGTTAAGAAAGTTCAAAAGTAAATTCTTTGGATAACTTCTTTTTAAAAAATGGTTTTTAGGAGTAGAAAACAAAAGTGGTATTCCGCTGTTTTCATGTGTTTCTTTTGAAGCATTCTTAAGCAGTTACTTGAATACAGTTACTATTTATTCTTTAAATATGTAATGTTTTTGAATTAATGTATAAAAGAAGAAATGCACAGAAATAAAACAACAGAAGATATCTTTCCAAATAATCTTTCAAATTAAGGACAGTAGAAAGTAGCGTTGGAAAAGTAATCCACTTGCTTTATTTACTTGATGTTGATAAGCCTAATACTGGCATAAATCTTATTTTGTTTGTTAAGCATTCTGTCAATAAGAGTTTTTTTTTTTCTTTTTTCTTTTTTTTTTCTGATAATTGGAAGTCGGAGCTTTACTCCCTTATACCCAGGGGCGCCCCCGAGGCCTTTTTTCTTCATCTTATGAGGTTCTTACTTTTTCCTGTTTAAATCACCATAATTACTCAGAACCCATCTACTAGAAATTAGACCATTTTTTCCCCAACATAGGAAGTGACTTCTGAAAGCTATCTCCAACAGAATATATGTACTAGAAGTTTCAAAGCATGGTATATGAATATGATCCATTCAATGTGGAGGGTATATTTGACCTGGTTTCGTGGGGAATCTTTATTTCTGTTTGAACCCTCAAAGAAAGAAAGATGTTGATAGGTGTCTCATTTTCTCACCATTTTTTTGTGGCAGGACAAGTAGGGCCTAAACTCCAATGTAATCCCTCTACCCCACATCACCATAAAGAGACTTTTTGCCTGATAATTGAGGCCTTGAGGTCGGCCATCTGATCCCTGAACTTTCGAGTTTACGTGTAAGTGTATATTCTTCAATATGGTTTTACTAGAGACACCGTGCCAAAAATGACCTATTTTCTTTGTGTGGTCTACTAAAAATGTCTAGTAGTAGGGGATGGTGCTATTACTATTCATATTCACATGTATAGTCTTCACTCTATATATTCTTCTATCTCCAACTTTTAACTCAATTATATGCATGCTCCTGGTAGAAAAACCCAACAATAATTATTTTTTATTTTATTTTTTTTGGGTAAGAAATAATTTCATTGGTCATATGAAATTACAAAAGAAGGGGAAAACTCCGATCCAAATTGGTTAACATAAAAGATATCCAATTAGATAAAAGAGATGTGTAGCTATAGTAAAGGAAAAGTGACACCAATCCCAACAATAATTTTGTCCACAGGCAGGAACGTACTAAGAAAACATTAGCATTTTAGGGTCTATTTGATACATTTTATTTGTGCATTTTTGAAAAAAGAAAAGTTAAACATGTTTGTCAACAATTTCATTGTTTTGTACATCTTTAAATTCACGGCAAATCTTGAACACTAAATAAAAGTAGTGTTCAAAAAAGCTTTTTATTTTTATTTTTACTTTTGAAAATTGGCTGTGGTATATGGATGGATTTAGAGATCTTTCAAGTCTCTATTTCTTTTGAGTTGAGTGGCATATCCACATCTGTGGAGGGAGGGACAGGGAGGGACTGTTCTTTGGTTCTTTTAGGACAACCAACCAAACCAAGTATGAGGTTGCAAGATAGTGACATGGGAGAGGACCAATTTCACTTTCAGAGGAGAAGAAGGGCATTTCATCACTCCTCTACCATGGAAGATAAAGCAGGTAATGCCTCTCTCTCTCTCTCTCTCTTTTGGGGGTGCCTTCTGATGATGCACTTTGTGTGGTGGCTTTAGTTTCTACACATCTTTTGGTTTTGATGGCTGTTGTTGTGGGTGGGGGTGGCCATGAAAGGGAGCTCTCACAATTCTTCAAAAGGGAGGAACTTTTTATCCATGGGGAGTTGGGTAGTTTTTTCTTCTTTCCTTCTTTATAATAGTGATTTATCATTCTTCACTTTTGAGGAAAATATTCTTTCATCGTTTTCCAACCTACGATAGTGTTGAAGTTTTTCCTCTTTCTAATAAAATATTCGAGGCAATATATTTTAGTGGTTTTTGGAGAGGAATATTTAAAGGGTATTCGTTTCTTTTCCCTCCTGTTTCTATACAGAAAAATAAAATAGATAAATTGAAGGCCTGTTTAATAGTTACATGCCATACAACTTTCACCAAACAATGACTCATTGTATGGGGACAATTAGCATACCCTAGGTATAGAGGCATAAAGGTCAAAGGGTCGCCGACTCTGGGGTAATAAAAAAAAATATATTCATGTTTCCCTATTGTTTCTTATTTCTTGTTTTCTATTTTTTGAGATGAAAAGTGTTTGATAATTATTTTATTTTTTATAAAATTGTATCGTTCTTTTGTTATCTCACCTCTAAAATTAAAAAAATAATAATAAAGATTTACCTCAAAATTAAGTTTTAGAAATGAAACTATTTAAAATTATTGCGTCATATATTTTTTAGAAACTAGTAACGGAAATAAGAAATAGAATTGTACACAAATTTAGAAATTAGTGTACAATTTTAAAAATGTTGCTTAAAAATGAGGATATTTATCAAAAGGTTGTTTTTCTAAATTTTAAAACAAAAATAGAAGATGAGAAATATGAACATTACCAAACTACCATCCATCGAGAACTCAACCTCGGGCATTGGGCATCTTCGAAGGTGAAGTCGTGAGTGGGCTTCTGGGGAATTAATAATACACTTCAAAAAGTATTTGGAGAATTGAAAACAAATAAAATTATTTATTGAACAAATTATTTCTTGAAATTCAAAATCACGAGTCCTAATAGACCATAATAATCTTCAAAAGTATGATATTTTTTCCCGAGTGAATGTTTCTGTCACTTTTCAAAAGCTCACACATCAATTTGGTGATATATTTTGAATAGTCAACTAGTTTCAGGGTTCTAATTTCTCTTCATGTTGAACTCAAGCAGAAAAAATCTCCTCAATTCAACATTGTATAGATAATTTTTTTTGAATGAAAGAGGACAAAATAATAATAATAATTTATTATTATTATTATTATTATATATCCTTCAATAACTATGGTATGGCTAATAAAAAAAAAATGACTATCAAAATAGAGAGAACGAATGAAATTTCAAAAAAAATAAAATAAATAATAATACATTTCATTAGCTAAATTATGTTCTTAAAGTTCATCGACATGTGAAAGTAGAGATACAAATTGTAGACATTTTGGTCAAAGATGTATACCTCAAGCAATTGTTGGAAGCTAAATTATGTTATCCATCTAAAATGGGTAGAAAATAGAGAATACCAAAAGTAGACCAATGATGTGCATATCAATTCTCTAAGAATATGAAATAACTACGTAAACTAAATACTGTGGGTCTCTTCAAGGGATCTGAGCAGAAAATTGATGGGGATCCAACTAAAAAAAGTATTTTTATTCAATGAATTTGCCATGCTTCTTACCACAAATTTATAAAATAGAACAATTTTCATTCTTGTTTAGAAAAATAGTAAAAAAAAAAAAGGGTTTTCTGGAATATGCATGGTGCAATTATCTTCTCGAGAAACATTATGGTAAGAGTAAATTTTGTAAATAAAAATGTTTGTAAAGGAAATAGGTTTTACAGGTCTTTTTTTTCCAATAAATTTCTTTTTTAAAAAAGCAAAATTACCCGATGATATGGGGAAATTTTTTTGAGAGAAGATATAGTTATCAATCATTTTAGTGAAATAAAATTACACAAATTCTCAATTGAATTCCCACTCGGGAAAGTATTCACCCTTTTCTAGAGAGTTTGACATAAAAATGACATTAAAAAAAAAGTCAAAAAATACAATGATGGAAAGTAATCCTTCCTTTTTCTCCCCCCTTTTTATTTCCATTTTTTTTTTCAAAACAAGAAAAATATATTTCAAGGTAATACCCACATTATAAGAGCATCCACAAACCAATCCAATTAGTGCAATGTAACATCACACACATGTCCACCATTCTTTGATGTTATAGGGGAGGAACAAGAGGGAGAAAAAAAATTGGCTTTAATTGGATCTTATCTTCAATCCACTATTAAAAAATAAGAAATAAAAATAAGATGAAAAAGAAAGAGAGAGAAAAATATGGATTTGATGAACGAGATGAAATTTTATTTTATTTATTTTACTTCTAGGTCCTCACTGAACAACTAAAAATCATGAAATTGGAACTTAATTTTCATGAATTTTCAGATCGCCAAAAATGAAGATCTTAGTTTGTCAAAGTGAAAAGGAAAAGTTCATAAGACTGGACTTGATCATATTGAAAAGATGAATTCCCTTCTATCAAAACTATAAATTATACATTTATGGTTTATTTAGGGGAAAATATTTCATTTTTCACTTATATACTTCTAAGTGAAATTCTAACTTCAAAAAATTAACAGAAACTTGAATAACTAGTAGAATCAACATATTCAAAACTAAATTAGAGAATTAACCGAAAACTAATTTTTAAAAATCACTCAAAAAGATTACTAACGAAAGATCCAAAAATCCCCCTATTGAGTTGCACAAGCTTAATCATAATAATATGCAAATCTAACCTTATTGAGTAGCAAAAAGCCTTTAAATCCAAGACCAAGATGGCTACAAAAAGCCAACAGAGCAACGAAGCCATAATATTCACACACACATAAATGATCAGGCATTAGAAAGGATGAAGGAAATAAAAAACATGGACATCTATTCACAAATCTCCACAACAACAAACTTAAAAAATATTAATTTCATCATTTATGCGAGTATGAATATGAAGTCAATAAATTCTTTTTGCACTTAAAAAAAAACAAATATGAGAGTGGAGATTTGAAACTTAAACATAAAGAAAAGAAATTATATGCATTTACTATCGAGATATGCTCATGTTGGCAATTTCATTGCTTCCTAACAATATAATTATGCAAACGAACCGTTTAAACACAAATAATTTTGTCTTCTTAAAGGTTAAAAAAAAAATACAACAGACATGAAGTAGAGAAATTTAAATATTATGATATTTACTATTTGAACTATGCTGGCACTCAAATAAGTTTAATGTGGTGGATATATCACAATTTAAAATACAACTAGATATTCGAAAGATATATATATTAAAAAGAAAAAAGGTCATATACTTCTTTTCATTTTTTTCCAACATCACGATCTTCGTAAATCATAATTATATCAATATTTAAACCCTTCATTAGGTAAGAATGCAGGTTTGTTTTGGAAGGACAAGTAAGCAAATGTTTTTTTTTTCCTGTTATAGACAAAAATTATACACCAAACTCCATGACATGTGATATAGATGGAATCTCGAATCTTTAATTCTTCACAAATATTTAACAGAAAAGAGTAAGAAAATAAGGGGTAAACTGATCCTCTAAAAAGCAAAATTTGCATTTGGCCAAAAAACAATCACAACGAAGGAAAACAAATTACCGAATATAAAAAACTACAAATAGCTACAAACATGTAAAGCCAAGATGATCCAATATATTCGCCAAAAAACACACACCACCAAAATTTTTCTTTTTAAAAAAACAGTTCCTCTAAATTTAGATACCCCATCCGTTGTTTCTCTCTCTCACATTCTCTGTCAGAAAGAGAGAGAGAGATTAGCAGCACCACATGACCGCCCCATATTTCGCCATATAAAGATGGATTTATTATATATATAAAAACTCCATTATATTGTCCATAGCTTCATAAGGAGAGTAGCTGTGTGCTAAGAGTTGGCAACAATGGCTCCTCCATTCTCCTCTATTTTTGTTTTCTCTCTTTTGTTTATTGGTGTTTTCGTGCAAGCCGACCGTAAGCCCTTTCCCTAACTTCTCCAATTTTCCCATTTCATTTTCTCTTCTACTTTCCGGGAAAAAAACACCATGGGTTTGTTTGTTTGTTTGTTTTCTGGGAAAATGAAAATGGCTGCAGAAGAGGAAGGAAATGAAGTACTCCTAGCTAGCTAATCCTTTTATTCAAGAAATGATTCTCTTCTAAACTGTGTGTTTTTCCTATTATTTTTGGGTGGACAGAGGTGGGGCAATCCGCTGCATTTACTTATGATGGCTCGCATGGACCTCAATACTGGGGAGAGTTGAGCCCAAGTTTTGCAGCATGCAAAAATGGAAAATCACAGTCACCAATAGACATTGTGAAGGACAAGACCTCGTTTGGCAAGCATCTTCAAACACTAATCAGAAAATATACTTCTGCTAATGCCACACTTGTCAACAACGGCTTTAACATTGGGGTTTGCCCTTCAAACCTATAACTTTTACCTCTCTTTTATTCCCCCATGCCCACATCATCAACATGCATACATACCTACATATGCATATGCATGCTTATCGATTTGCTAAGGTCTCATTTGCCAACTATTTTCATAAGTTCGATAACTATTTTAATTTTGTTTTTCTGTTTTTAAAAGTTATATATACTTGATTTCTCACAATTTATTCACATGTTTTAGAAACACATTTAAATTCTTAGTCAAATTTTAAAAACAGAAGTAGGTTTTTCGGTCTTTCAAATTTTGGCTTGTGTTTTAAAAACGTTTTAGAAAGTAGATAACAAAGAAACACAAGGTGGAAGTAGTGTTTTTAGACTTAATTTTTAAAAGTCAAATGGTTATCAATTGGGACCTTCGTTTTTAGTTTTATGTTTTTAAAAATTATGCTTTATTTTATACAATTTCATGAGTAAGTTTTTTGTATCTCTTAAAAACATATTTGAATTCTTAGCCAAATTTCAAAAACAAAAACAAGGTTTTGAAAAAAAAAAATATATATATATATATATATATATTTTTTTTAATTGTCCTAGATTTTTAAATTTTTTATAAAAATTATATAACAAAATAAAGGAACGCATAAGGGAAAATAATGTTTCTAATCTTACTTTTCAAAAATGAAAAACTAAGAACAAACTTCCTTATTTCCTATTTTTTGTTTCTAGCTTGTGAAAAATCAACAGTTTCACATTGGCCTTTTTTCTCCTTCTAATATCTTATTGCTTGTTCGTGTAGAAATACTTTTAAAATTATATACAATTTTATGTAAAAAGGGCTAATATTTTGGTCTTAATTTTTAAAAACATCAATATATCTTTTATCTTGTTCTTTCCCCTTCCTAAATTACATATCAGACCACCAAAATGAAAATGAATGTTCTATTCTTAAAAATTTGATTTTCCAGTGAAAATCTCTCTTAATTTAAAATTCTAAAGAATAAGTCAAAAACAATTTGTTTAGGTGAAACATAGAAGAACAAACCAATAAAAGGAATAATAAAAAGTTATGAGACACATTTATACTTCATTTTTCAAAAAGAGAGAGAGAGAGCCAATTGGCCAAACCTACGGATAATTTCTAATTCTTTTTCCGCCTTCAGATGCAATACTGTTCTATTAATACTCTGATAGGTTCATACATATTTATGCATTATATTTCAGAAAATGTGATAAATCAATAAATAAAAATGTGAGCCATATTGACATTTTTCTTTTCTTCCAAAAAATCAGTTACATTTCGGGGAGAATTCAGGTGGAGTAGCCGTAATAGATGGTAAAAACTACAGCCTCAAACAAATGCATTGGCATTCTCCTTCCGAGCACCGCCTCAACGGCGAGCAGTATGTTCACCTTCACCCCATCTCTCTCTCTCTGGGCCGGCCCATTATAGGCCCAAGCCCATCTATTATCAAGCTGTCACATGAAGCTTTTTTCCTAAATATTTTATTTCAAACTTATTATACATTCGAAAATTAATTTTACAAAAACATTAGTACTTTGAAATTTGAAATCTGTTCCAAGAATATGAAATCTAAAGTGAAAAGAAGATTTCAGAAAATTTTTAAGTTCTCTTAAACAATCGATTTGTATGAAAATCATGAAACTCATCAATCTCGACAATTCATCTAAATCCAAACGGCCTAAAAAAGAACTGATTCTAGTTTTATCCCCGAATCAATCTAATCGGATCAAGTTCATCTGTAATACTAATTTCAAGGAGTTCTGGATTTGAAAATTACCTCCGTACTTTCCGATTGGAACAGATTCGCAGCCGAGCTTCATCTACTCCATCAGGCAGACGACGGCAGCCTCTCCGTCATAGCAATCCTCCTCCAATACGGCGATCCAGATCTCCTACTCCAGAAGGTACATCAATCAATCAGTCAATTTCACTCTCTCAAAACGAATCGAAAATTTTCGGAAACATACATTTTACAAATTACAATCACCGCAATCCGGCAAAATTGCAGATCCAAGACAAATTGGGGGAGTTAGCCAAGGAGCGATGTGGCGCCGATGAAGAATCTCACATTACAATCGAAAACCTAGACACGAGGCAATTGAGGAAGAAGACTCGCAAATATTACAGATACGTCGGCTCTCTCACCACTCCTCCCTGCTCCGAGAACGTCATCTGGAGCATTCTCGGCAAGGTAAATCAAATCTCCATTTATCAAGCTCCTCACGGCGGAACGGATTACCTTAGGGCTTAAGCATATAACATTCAAAATTACCTCGCAGGTGAGGACTATTTCGAAGGAGCAAGTTGAAGCACTGAAGGCTCCATTGGATTCGGCGTACAAAAACAACGCCCGGCCGGCGCAGGCGCTGAATGGCCGGAAGATTGAAATCTACGACGAACTCAGCGAGTACTGAAAACCTCTCCCGCGCCCTCTTTGTGCCGCACAACAATGAACAAACGAAGAATTGCTCGGCTTGAATTCCTCTTCTTAAAAGGAAAAAAAAAAAGAAAAAAGAAAAGAAAAAGAAGTTCATAAATACCATTCTAACCTTTCTACTCTGTAATCTTCGTGGATTGATTGAATAGTAACTGGTCATTTCACGTTTCCTCCCTGATTACTTTATTATATCATAATCAATAGTGAACTAAAAAATAATTTACATTTATCCCAATATTGTACTTAAAATATATATATATATATATTAAAATTTTCTTAGCTATTTATATAGTAAAAAGTCCTAATCGTAAATACCATGTTTTGAATTTCTATTGATATATATGCTAGGAATCTATATATATATTTTTCTTTTAAATCATTTGCTATTTACGTGGACTCTATTGACCAGTTATCTTGTACCATCCTATTGTTAGGAATCTATATATTTATAGTTTGTTGATTAATATTTTATCTCCTTTTAAATTCACTGATTTTCTTTTCTCTAATTCTATGTTTTAACTTTAATTAGGAGAAATATTGTCTATTTGTAATAAAATTGGGAAAGTTTAGAACCTAACAATCCTATATTTTTTTTGTTCATCGTGTCCTCTTTTAATAAAATAGTATCAAATAATTATTATTTATTTATCAATATAGTTTCTATAAATAATAAATGACTAAATGGTATCATACCATGTCGTCAAAGCTTATAAATAACAGCATAGTTCAGCGGGGTAATTGACATATATCTCAAATCAATAATAAGTTGGGATCTCTTCCTCGACATGTTTGTATTAAAAAAACAACTTTATAAATAACTATTCAAAAGAGAAAAAAAGCTTATAAATAAAGCTTTGTGGCATAGATGAATTGAAGTATTAAATAAAAGTTCAACCACTCAAATTTCAAAACTTAAACAAATTCAAGTGGATTAAAAGACTTACTTTTTTTTAATTCCATTGAATGGTACCATACCATTACGATGTTTTTAAAACATTTCTATATTGATTTCTAAAGTTTATTTAATCCAATATAAAATACATATTATCATTTTAATGGTTTGATTTTTAATTTCCTATCCTGTAATTGTCGAACTCAAAAAATATATTCCAATTTTGTATAATTTGTTGTCACGTTGTTCTAATCCTCTAAACTACAGTTGTGAAAAATAAATTGAATCTGAATGAAATAGGGAGTGGGTGAGAAAAATAAATTGAATCTGAATGAAATAGGGAGTGGGTGAGGGTATAAGGGATTGGTGGGACAATCATTTAATAAGTTGTTAAATTGCGATAAAAAGTTCAATTGCATATTTTAATTTAAGTTTGGATGATATTTCTATTAGTCTATATTGTTCACCATTAACGAAACGTTGACATGACATAAATATTAAAGAAATTTCATTTGAGTTTGTGACAAATAGCTAAACAAATTAAATGCTTATGGAAAGTTAGTGTCTCTTCTCTATCATTATTAACAACATAAATCAGTCAACATGAATATAGTGAAGAAATGTTTATTTTTTCTTTTGAAATTTGAGCTTCAAAGGAGACAGGAACTCCCCACATAGTTCCCGAGCTTTATATATATATATATATATATATATATATATATATATATATAATATGTAAATTTTGAAAACAAAGTTTCGTAATTTCAAACTAATAATTTATTTAATTGGTTACAAATTCAATGTCATCTAATATCTCTGTCATTTTCTTTCCTTTCCTATCCATCTATATCCAATATTAGCTAGTTTGTAATTCTTGAAATTGAAAAAAACAGTTTTGAATAGTCGCTCTAAGTCAATTTTTCATTAATGTTTAATTTAAATATAAATATGACATGACAAGTTTGCATATGATATCGCAACTCAGCTAATACTTTATCCTATTTTTTTAAATAATGCGGTGGCTGAAAAAGTTGACACATAATTTAAAATTAATTTTTTTTTTGTTGGCTGAAATATAATTCAACCGTTGACTTCTAGAATAACTTGTATCTTACTTAAATTTGCCACATTTCCGAAACCATAAGTGAGCATTAGATTTATAGGCTTTGAAAGTTTATAGATTTTTGTAATCCATGATCACTAAACATGAATTTTAGTATCTTCCAATTTATTTTATAGATTTTGAGTTTTCAAAATATTTATTTTATTCTATGGACCTAAAAAATTATACGTTACTAGCACTTATCTCCAATTAAGAGATCATGAGTTTGAATTCCTCCACCTGTACTAGAAAAACCAATACATCCTATTGCATGATATCTATATGACATATATTAAGTATTTAATGGCAAAATAACGATTAGAACTAATGAATATAGTTTTAAAAAATTGAAGAACTAACATAGATATTTTAAAAATTTTATGGCTTATTTAGTAACATTCTCCAATCTTTCTTCATTTTTAATAAATAAGATAGAATCGCATGGCCCAACAACTCTAAATTAAAGAAGGATAAAAACAATATTTATATTTTATTTTGTAACAAATAGGGAAGGTAAACAATTTCCAAAATTTCTATACTAATTTTGAGAATGTTTCCAAAATATGAGAAACAAGAAACATAATTAGTTGTAAAAAAAGATTTTTTAATAAAATTTGGAAATGAGATAGTTACCGAATGAGCCTTAAAAAAACAAAATAACTGTAAATATTAAAAACTAAAATAGGTATATGGAAAACTTATGGTTTGTTTGATAACCATTTTGGTTTTTGTTTTTAGTTTTTCAAAAACATGGTTTGATAACCAATTTAATTTTATGTTTTTTGTTTTTCAAAAATCATTTTAAAAATTCTAGGTAAATTAAAAAAAAAAAAAAGTAGTTTTCAAAAACAGGTTTTTGTTATTCAAAATATGATTTTTTCTTTTAATACTCTAACTTTTTTTTCTTTCTCATATTTACCTCTAAAAAATTTGTTTTTCACCCTAAAATTTTTTTATTTCCAAATTTCTGTATTTTTTTTTTCTAATAGGCCAATTTAATTTATTCCTCTAAAAATTTAATATTTTTCTCAACTTTTTTTCTCTCTAAAATTTAATTTTTTATAATTCTTCTTTCTCTTCATAATCTATTTTTCTTTTGAAAATTATATTTTATTTTATCGTTCAATTTTCTTTCACTCAAACTTTTACTTATATTTATATTTATTTATTTTCTCTAAAAATTATATTTTGAATCTTGTTTTTATCTCTAAATTTATTTCCACAATAATCTTGTAATTTCGATTAAAGTTTTCTCTTTTTGTCTTTAACTTTTCTTTCACTATTTTTTTTCTAAATATTTTTATTTATCTCTCTAAAATTTAGCTTCCAAAAGTTTATTTGTCTCTTATTTTCACGTCTCTACAAAAAAATTTATGCAGAGTCGGATCCCAAAAATAGGAAATGCATGCCCCGACCCCGCCCCGTCCCTGTGATTCTATATCTCTCGGTCCCAAGAACGAGTTGGAGACGGAGAGAATGGGGCACCCATACCATTCTCATCTCTACTCTACATAAAAATTTTTCTCTCTAATATGAATTTTCAATTTTCTAACTTTTTAAAAACTAAAAACTAAAAATGATTACCAAACGTATATGGTTTTTCTTCTTTTTCAAAAAAATAAAATCAAAAACCAAAAATAAAAACCTAAAATAGCTATGAAACGGACCATTAGGAAACCAAAATGTAGAAAGGCTCTAAAATTTTAAGAATCAAAATAAAATAATAACCTAAAAAGTATATAGACCTATTATAATATAGTTATTATATAAAAATAATAATTTTCACCCTACATGGTCTATGGCCCTTCCTGTCTAGTCCACTCCCTTGCTTGTTTTGTCTCTTGCTCGATGTTCGATTATTGAACCTTTCTTTATGAGCATTATTCAGTTAAAATTTTTAAATTTTTAAATCTTTACAGCCTTTTGTCTTTTTTCTGCAAGAAAAAATCAAAATTACTGCAGTAAAATTCAATTACAGTTTAGTCCTTCAACTACTAATTATATCCATTTGACGTCGAAGACAACAATTTGTTTCAGTTAGATGTAGATCCCTATATACAGAAACTACGATTTTAGTAGTTATAACTTATAACCGAACGCAAAATTTACAACGGCTCATAATACCAACCAAAAAAACTATCGGGAAAATAATAAAAACACAATTTTATCTACAAAACGGTACCGTTTGGATGCAAATAAAAATGGAAAATAACCGCAAAGGGCAAGAGGCAAAATTACATGAGGGAAAACCGTAGGGCTCTTTTTCTTTTTAATTTTTTTTTATACTTACTTACCTTGTGAAGCACGGGAATGAGAACGGTTAAATCAAAGTGCCACGTCATCCGGCTACGATACAAACAAAAAAAGCGGGCCCACCAGAAGCCCACCTAATCCCGATGGGCCCGCCGACAGCCCACGCCACAAGGTACCTCAAAGCTCAGAGGAGCATATGCCGTCGGACGACGGTTATTCTCCGTCGCCGACGAGCCACGACCCGGACCGCCTCCCCGACGCGAACCGCTTCACGCCGCCCAATCCCGGCGGTTCGATCTCCACGCTCCTTCTCGGATGAGATTCTGCCGTCATCGTACCAGCCGCCCTCTCCCTCACCGGCAAGTCTTCGGCGGCGTCGGCAGCGCTTGGTTTAACCGCCGGCGGTTTTTTCCAAACTCTGAAAAGTGACCGGAAAGTCGATAAGAAGCCGCGTTTAGCGCATTTACGATCCGGTTTTTCCTTCGGCGGCGATGGTTCAGATGGACGGCGGCGATTCTTCCACCGTCGACTCCGATCTCGCTTCGATCTCACCCGGCCCATACACGAGACCTTCGGCGACGACGGCTCGACGAGCGCGGAGTCCGATTTCGCAGACGATCCGGACTGTTTCACGAACAGCCTCGCATTTCCAGATTTCGAATTGCGACGATTCTTGGTATCGACGAAGCAAGTCTTATGAAGCTTCGGCAGGCCGAGAATCGAGGCCTTGGATTTGAAGTTCAAGGAAAAGCGTTGAGAATTCGAATTGGAAGGCGGATTCACACTAGGATTATTCAAGTTGGTGGAATTGGAACTACCTTTAGTGGAATCTTTGCGCTCGTAAAACGCGTTCTGATCCAGCCAATCGAACTCCGCATCCTTGGACAGCCAAAATGATTCCGGAGGAAAATCCGGCGGAACCTCCGATTGCTCCGTCACCTCTCGGTCCTCATCCTCAGGCCGACGATCGCCATCGGCAAAAGCTTCTTCGCAGGCGATCTTCCGGTCGTGTGCAGTGCCGCCGGCACATGCAGAAACCAAAGTTTCCAGATCCACTTGCGGCATGGTAAGACCAAAGTAAAATTAAACCACTGTAAACAGAATCAAAAAGTAGAAGTTTCTATAAAAGAAGCTTTTCTCAGAAAAATAAAGAGAGGATTTCTTCTGGTTGACTGGTGCTCGGTGGCGCGTCGGGAAGACGTCTTTTGAAGATTCAGGAGAGAGAGAGAGAGAGAAAGGCCAAAGGGTCCGCAAAAGAAGAGGAGAGAAGATTTTTTTTTTCTTTTTTAATCTCTTTGAATATAGATTTTTATTTTTATTTTTTCTTTTTCTTGCCTTATAAAATTGGTACGGAAAGCGAAAGCACCAAAACGGCAGTGGATTGATGGGGAGCGCGAGCGCCTTTATTGTTTTATTTATTTATTTATTGCTATTTTTTAATTTTAATTGATAACCTTTATTGTTATTATTATTATTTTTCTTTAATTGTCTTTTTGACAGTAACTTTTTCTTAATCTCTCTTCATTCCCCGGCGTGGCTTGTTTTTAAATGGCTTGGCTCTGTCTCGAATGTCTAAACAATTTAGGTCCTCCAGTGTGGAATCTGGATTTCGTATTTATTGAATTGAAACGGTGAATATCGGTTGAATTTATTTTTTAAAATTGTTTTGAATTTTGTGATTAAATAATGGAAATTTTGGAAATCATATCTATTTTCGAAGAATTTGAAATTTTAAAATGTAGAATTATATTAATAAATATACTATTTCATATTATAAATTCCTTTAATTTTTGGTAAAATTGAAATAGGTAAAACCTAATATATTATAAATTATATAATATTGTAAAATGATAATTATAACATATATTAATAAACTAATTAGGTTGAAGAAACATTTAGTGGTGGGTTACTACTAATTTATAAATACAATACTAAATACACCTTTAACAATTTTTTAAATTGTTATACAATTATCAAATCTACTGTCAAACACATTCTAAAACATTGGACAACATTTATTTTCATTGAATCTCTTTTTAAATATGCCTTAGGATATCTTTAGTATTTAAATATTTATTTTTTCAGATTCACTTAATCAACTAGAATATATGGTTGGTAGATTTATATTTTAAGACTGTAATCCAAATAGTGTGAATTTTGAAAAAAAAAATACACTATTATTTCATAGCAGGATCAACAATTAGTTTTTTATGATTTTTTATTTTTTTATGATATTTAATTGATAACTAATACTAATTATTCACAAATATATTTTGAAAGTACATAAATAAAAATAAAAATAGACCAAATTACTATTCAACGGAAAATAATAACTCTAAAATGTAAACCTAAAAATATATTCATGCAAATGGTAGTTGAAATTTAAATTGATGTTTAACTCTCACGTAATACCGTTGGCATTTCTTTTATTAGCAACAAACTATAAAGTTATCTTTTGTTTGTAGTTTTAATTTTCAAGTGAAAATAATGGATATTTTTGTGAAAATAATTTTTCTGTTTTATTTTATGTTTATAAGATTTGTTGTTTGGGTTTGGTAGGTTTGGTTAATATACTTACTCAACGTTTGGTCCATCTAACCCAACCGTTCCACTTTAGTTGATAAAATCATAGGCTACCATTTTATATGATGTTCTCTTTCCTTTTTTATTTTTTATTTTTTTCCATTTTCTTCTTTAGTTTAAGTTATAGATATTATTTTATTTTCAAATGATCTATTTTGATATTTCTCATCACATTATAGAGTTGTATTGAATAAAAATTTTGCTATTTTTAAATTCGATACTTCCTTTGATATATGTGGCAGAAAAATACGAGACCATGTGATGGGTATATTAATTTTTATTTATATAGAAATTTAGTAAAAAATGGCTCGGACAAATTTTTTTTTTTGCACAAAATTCATAAATAAAAGTTAAAGGTACTAAAGTGTATAAACGTAAAATGAGATTTTTTTAATATAACATATGAAGATGGGATTCGAACTACAATTTTTTAGTCGGAAATAAGTACCTTACCTAGTTTAACTATGTTTAAGTTGACAATTTTATCTTAAAAAATAATTATATATATAACACGTACAGCAAAATGAATTGGTGCTTATTTTAAAAATAAAAAATAAAAAAGTAATTAATCGGTGCTTATTTTTGTGAGTTGTAATTCAAAATCTTCTCATACTCATTTATAATATAATATTGTCAACAAAATTAAAAGGTAAAATACAATATTTTCTGCCCTTGAGTTGCTCAATCAATATAGCAATTAAGAAATTTCTACTTTTTCTATAAAGTGTTGAAATTTTCGATCTTTTATACCTTCAAAAGATTTCGACAAAAAGTATTTTTCCATTTGTTGACGGTAAATTTTGGAGAGATCGATGTGTCCTTCGGACGATAGCTTTAATTCGCTTGAAAGCAAATGAGTTTGCAACTTGAAAACTCAACGTCGGTGTAGTGTCCTACCTAATAATTACCTCTGATGCTCAAGTAAGTGATCGGAGTAGAAAATAGGAAAAGACACCTTAAGTATTAGTGACATGTTTTACACTTACTTGGTAATAGTGAGGGTCATTTCTTATATAGGCTCAGACGGTTGACCAGAAAAGACGATGGTTGTGGTGGCAGAGGCGCGCCACGCGGTATGTCGACTAGCAAAGGTGTACACCCTAAACAACTGGCGGGTGGTGTCGTCGCCTACAGTTCGACGTGCTACCTGTATTGAAGAGACGAAGGTGCACATCTCCTGCCACGACAGTGTACGGTGCGTAACTGTATGTGGTCACGCGCCTCTCAACTGTTGACACGCGTCCTGTACAGTTTTTACTCTCAACAATATTATTTTCTTTTTTTATCTGATGGGTGTAGTTTAATAAAAGTTTTTAAAAAGGAACAACTAAATTTTAAATAAAAATAATAAAATAAAGCCGATGGAACATAACATAACACATAGTATAAACTACGAGACCAGCCAGCGGCTAATAAGGAGCCAGAGATACAAGTTATATTATGATTGAAGATTAAATGATGCAGGAATTATTGAGGTTTTTTTTTAATAAAAAATTTATTAATACCTACTTTAAATAAAGCCAGCCACTCGCTAAGCTGTATCATTGAGTCGGACAGTCCGCTGCGACATCGTTTTCTATTTCACAAAGCTTTTTTGTTTTTGTTTTGTTTTTTCTTTTTCAAGTGTAGTTTTATATCAAAAATATTATATTAATAATAAAGTTGAAATACTATCTACATTTTTTCGTAATAATCTGGTTCCTTTATTTTTTTTTAAATGTTGAGAATTAAATTATCTGTATGATTTGCTATTTGATTGGATCTCTTCAATGTATCTAGAAAAATATAAAATATATATACCAGACAGAAAATAATTGGAATGCTATTCGACATTAATAATAAAAATAATTAAAAATAAATTAGCTCATTTAATTTTTTTTTTGTTAAGGTTCGAGATTTGTTGGTTATATTTTTTAAATGCATAACCTAAATTGCTGAGAGGGGAAAAGAAATATGATAAAAATGAACATAATTCTTTGAACTTTTATCTTTCCTTTTATCCTTAATTTTTTAGAATTTTAATATCCATCTCTAAATTATTCACATTTTATTTTGACTTAAACATTTTTTAAATCTCATGTTAATCTTTTTACTTTCATAAATTCTCACCTTTAATTCCAATGGTAATAATATCAGATATATTTGATTGAAAATATGATGTTAATCTCTTTCATTGTATGTCATGTCTACTTATCCACATTAAGAATAAAATGCTACAAACTTTTCTTTTAAAATAGTAATAAAATTTAATTAGAAAAATGGAGAATAAAATTTAAACAAGGGATATCTGACAAATTGGTGGAAAATCAAAATTTAGTCCTTATTTGAGTTTGTATTCAGACTGGAAAAAAAAATAGAAATAATAAATAATCCTTAAGATAATTTAAAAGTATGAGCATACAATTTCTTTTCTAACTTAACAAGTATACTCATCCAATTGAAATCGTCAATTTAATAGATAATTTTACAGCAATGTTTTTCTACAGTTGAAAAATTTTATAACAGTGCTATAGTTTTCTATTTTGTTGACTTGTATTATTTTATTTTCTTCATAAATTTACCTATTAAGTTGATGATTTTACAGATAATATTATACTTTTTAAAATCACTATAAGTACTATAATTTTTAAACTCATGGGACAATAAAAAAATTCTTGGAAATTAACCCGTGGGGTGAAACTGGAGATAAAAAATCAATTATTTGTGATCCCCGAGGTCGCGGTGTTGTACTGAGATAATTTTTATGATTCCATTATGGGCATGGGAGTGCGTGAACTCGTTGTCGCGTAAGTTCTGCAGCCAATCGAAAACTATAATTTATTTGATAACTATCCATATTAAATAAATAAATAAAAAAAAAAAAATATATATACACACTCGAACTTCAAGTGGCGATTTGAATTTCAATTTATTTTATAAAAGATAGGGTAACTATGACTCTAGATATCAATCAACATTTCTATCATAATACACAAAAATAGATAAAATGTAAAAAAATATCAATAAAATGTCACTAATATATATATAATATCAATATTTGTTCTTTTTTTAACTTATTTATAAATATGAAAATATTTATTTGTTAATTTAAATATTTTTTTCTATTTTTTAATTTCTATAACTTTTACTGAAATATCTATCGACATCCACATTTTATCAATATTTCCATGAAATTGAGACCTAGATATTTCAATTGACATCGACATTTAAGATTTTGATTTAACCAATTGAATTGAAATATTGATATATTTAATTTCTACAAAATTAATTTTGTACAAAGAAATGGCGACCAATTAGAATTCATCATCATTAGTGTCTCTTCCTGATAAAATTAATTTCGTCAAGAATTGTTTCGTGGACAAAAAGAAAAATTCTTGTAGTGTGTGGTGCTATATATCTATCTAATCTTCACATGATTTATACTCGTCCATGTGACTTTATAAAATATTATGATAATGTTAGCATGTTGTGTCATGTCAATTTTTACTTCTATTAATTAAATAATTAATGTTGTTCCAAAACTAAAATTAATTCAATTAATTAAGATATTAATGCCAAAAAGTTCATGAATTTGAATCCACGCTCTCAAATCTCACATATTATTATGTTATGACTTTTAACTAGATTCAATTTGATATTCATCTCGTTCTCTCATTTAAACCTATGTAGGTGAGAATTTTAGATATGATGGAGCAACGTGCCACAAAT